CCATCTGTTCTAACAAACCCTCGTTGTTTCCAGATGCTAGCGTTTATATGGCATACCCCATATCCATATGCACTGTCAGTATAGATTGTCACTCTTCTACCAGTAGCCAATTTACATGCAGCTGTTAATGCTTTTATCTCTGCCAATTGGGCAGAGCAAGGTTGATCTAGACTCATTGATTGTACCTTGGTAAAGGTCCCATCGGGGTTAAGTTGGACTATTCCATATCCAGCTCTATTCCCTGTGTCACCTCTGACGCATGATCCGTCTACGAACAGCGTCAGATCAGATGGGATTGGATGATTGTATAAGTCCTCCCTTACCTTCATGAAGGTGTCCGTCTCCTGGAGACAATCATGGGGCTCACCTTCTGTGGGCAATACCATTCTTGTGGCTTGGTTAATGGTGGTACAACGTTGTATTGTTAAAACAGGTCCTGAAAGCAGAACTTCATAACCTGTTCGACGAGCTTGGGTTATCACAAAGCGTGGGCTGGTGAGCAGTGCATGTAATTGATGTGATGTGTACAGAATAACAGGGTGGCCCATAGTAATAACTGAGGCCTTTTTGTAGGCGAAGGCTGCTGCTGCCAAACCCTGGTAGCAGGGAGGCAAACCTTCTTCGACACCATCTAATTTTGTGCTGTAATAAGAAATTGGCTGTTTACCTGTTGGGGTGTCTTGCATCAATACTGCACATGCATACCCTTGTCGCTCAGCCACATAGAGATGGAATGGTTTGCCATAATCTGGATTGGCCAGAGCAGGAGCAGTTTGGAGATCTTGTTTCAGCAGCTGGAACGCACCCTCTGCCTCATCTGTCCATTGTAATTGAGCCGACTGGTGTCCTTGACCTGCGGCTTTAATCATTGCTCTCAGTGGAGCCGTTTTGATGGCATAATCACACACCCACGGTCTGCTGTAACTTGCCATGCCAAGGAAAGACAACATGTGACCAACAGTCTGAGGTTTGGGCATTTGGGTTATGGCTTCCAGTTGGGACGGTGCAATACACCTCTTGTCCCCACTAAGTTGCCTGCCGAGATACTCCACTGTTTGCTGGCAGAATTGCAATTTTTGTTTACTTACTTTGTGTCCTCCTTCTGCCAAAGCAGTCAACACTGTAGTGTGAGAGACACTGCAGTGTCTCTCACTCTGCTCTTTAGAAACAGAACAAATCAGAATATCATCAACATACATCAACATTGTAGATGGTATGTCAAGGTGATTTAAGTCATTTGCCAGTACACGATTGAAAATTTATGGTGAGTGTACGAAACCCAGTGGTAATCGCGAATATGTATATTGTTGGCCTTTGTACGTAAATGCAAATAAATACTGGGAATCTGGATGGACCGGTACACTGAAAAATGCTGAACACAGATCAATCACAGTAAACCATTTGGTACCTGGAGGTATATTACTCAGTAGTGTGTGTGGGTCGGGTACTACTGGTATTTCTTCTGCTACAATAGCATTAATCAATCTTAGATCATGGACTAATCTATAGTCATTACTGTTGGGCTTTCTGATGGGAAAAATTGGGGTGTTACAGGGGCTTACTGTTGGTTTAAGAACTCCTGCTGTTAGGCTGTATTCCTTCTACTGCCTCTCGTTTAAGTGGGTACTGTCTTTGGGAGGGCAATTTAGCATTTGGTTTAATGGTGAATTTGATGGGGTCTGCTGATTTTACTAATCCTACATCTGTCTTACTTTTAGACCATACCTGCTCTGGGACTTGTTCTAATAGGGATTCATGTTCTGCCGCCACTGCCATTTGTCTTTTCCCAGGAACTTTAATGTGTTCTGCAATTACTTCATCAGCTTGTGAATATGAGATCTTGAAAAACAGTCCATCTTTTGACATGCTAATGCAGTCCCATGCTGTAGCAATCCATTCGGTGACTTGCTTGGCTTTTTGAACCATGGGTCCTAGATCATGTGACTCATACTCGTCTGCAATCAGTAATGTGACATGTGGTGCTGAGTTGGTAACCTGGAACCATTCTGCTACATCTTTATCAGGAAATGTGACAACAGCTGCAGCTCCTTGTGGTCCAACCACTATGTCAGCATACTGGATGACAGTTGTTTTGTTATTTTTGTCTTCATCCCAGCTTTTCTCGTAGTCTTCATGTGTTTTGCCTTTGTCATAAAACATGGTACAATGGAGAGGAAGAAAAGGTTCTTTAGATTTCTCATAGTGATTCATTATCAGGGGTCTCCATGTTTCCCACTCTAGTTGGAGGAAGGAGGTTGGTGATGTGAGTTTCAGCCAAAATACTTGGTCTTCTGGCTCATGGCTTGTTATCTGGGGGGTCATTTGCAGGCCCATTGGCATCATGTAGGCTTCATTCTTGTCTGTTGCTTCAAAAGAAATTCCATTAGGGGTACATTTAATTTTTGCATTGAGCTGGCACAGCACATCTCTACCCAGCAGATTTATGGGCGTATCTTCTTGGTAAAGTAGTGGTGCATACACAGTCTTTTCACCTATGATCATGGGAACTGGCTTAGTCATGGGTATTATTTGGGTCTTCCCAGAGAAACCTACTGTTCGAATCTTTGATGCTGAGAGAGGCAGGCCAATTCCACTTTTTCCTATACAGGAGTAAGCCGCTCCTGTATCAATCATAAAGCGATGATGGCTGTCATATATTATGACATCAATGGTGGGTTCTGTTTGTGGACGTTGGGTTAATACAGGTAGAATGGCCTCTCCATCAGGTTTCTCTGGGCACCCCTATAGCCAGTACGTGTCTTGTCCCGTTCCATAGGTGGCTGGTCCAGCAGTAGGGGGCTGGGGTCCCATCCATGGGTTAGTGGGGCAGTCTCTTTGCATGTGTCCAACTTGTCCACATCCCCAGCATTGCATTCTCACTCGCTGTTGTCCCATGTCTGGACCTGCCTGTGGCATCTGCTGGTATTGGCCTTGAGGGGGCCTTCTTGGGGCTCCTTGTGGGCCCCTCCATCTTCCCCACATGGGTGGCCCCCCTCGTCCCCTTCCGAACGTTGCTTGTTGGGGACCTCCTCCTTGGTTTAGATGCACATGAATAGGAGGGACTGGTTGAGGTTGGGTCAGCTGTGGCAGGGCACCTCCCACAGGTGGCGCTGCTGGATACTGCATCTGCTGTGTGGGTGGAGGAATAACAGGAGACACTACTGGTGCTTGTACCACTGCCTCCCCTGTTGGTGCTCCCTCGGTTGGGGGTGTGGCCACCACAGTCAGTGCAGCTTGATGCTTGGGCTTCTCTTTCTCTTTCTTTGCTTTGGACAATTCCCCAATCTGCAACTGGGTTAGCTTGGTGGCCAGCATCTTGCTTTGGTCCTCAAAGGCCCGTTTCTCAGCCCGATGCATGTTTACATAGTGAATAACATGCTCAGAGAACAGAGGCCAGTCCATCTTCATGAGCCCCACAACTCCGTGCAGTTTGTCTCTGTTTTCCATTTCTGTTGGAACCTGTGCAGAAACTGGGCGGGGCTTTCATCATCCTTTAGGCATTCTTGTCTCAGCTTAGTTGGATCACTGCAGGTGGGGTATTTGTTCCTTAGGGCTGCCCACACCTTGGGTCTTATCTGGTTGAATGGTATCTTGTCATACTGGTGTGAGGTCATGACCCTTGGAAGCTGGGCTTCGTCAAACACCTCTCTGGCTACTGAGTGTCCTGCTGTTTTAATTGGCAGAGCCTTGATGTCTCCAGCTGCCAGATTGATGCCTCCAGTGATTTCTTCCAGCTTTTCTATCCATCTGTCAGCACCATCTGCCAATGGGGTCAGCCTTCCAGCCAGGGTTATCATGTCCATAAATGACCATGGCACGTATCTGTCATCATGACGTCCTTTAGACAGCAAGGGAGCCATATAGGTCCCTCCTTGATCTTGTTCCGTCTTCTGCTGTCGCATTTTGGACCTGGTCACCATTTGGCTAGGGCCGCTTTTTACTATCTGTAGCCCCACGTCACACTCAGCTGTGAGTGGCTTCCTTTCTTTTGCTGCTGGCCTGCTTTCCTCCTTGAACCCCTCATGGAAGATTTGTTTTTAATTGTTGCCCAGCACTAATTAAAAATAAAAAGGAGCAATGTCCAGCTACTGGCTGCAGATAGAGGAGGCTGTTTGCTTTGGGTTGTTGGAGGAAAGTGCGCCCTCTGAGCATCTGCATTATTTACAGGTTTGGGTTGAAACCAAGAGCAAAGCTTTTAGTTTCATCTCCTCTTACTTCCCTAACAAAACATCTTTTACTTTTTTTAAGATCCATTTTTAAGGTCCATGTTAATGTCACGGGATCACATTATGTGAGAAAACACCAAATGTGTGCGGTTTCCTCGTACAGTGTAGCTACGTGCAACGATTGAAAAAAATCGCAGTGTTTGCCCGGCTTTACAGGCACAGATATGTTTGATTGTGCAAATTTCACTTATGTAGGTGTCTCTGTCAATGTGTTGTACGTGTAAAATCATATACGTGTGTGCGTGTACATATATATGCAGTATATAATACACCAAAAAAAGAACAAATAGAAATCATGACATCAATTTTGAATCAATGTAAACATGCATATGTATATATTAATAAATACAACAAGTAAACAATCTTGAAGAAACTCGTGAACTAAAATGTTGTTTAGCAACAGAAGAAGTTCCTTCAGATTTCTCCACCTGTTTGTTCACTGTTCCTGAGCTTTACTTCATGAGCTTTGATGAGCTGTACTTTAATTTATCTGGGATAGTTTATGTTTTAGAATTATTATTTAATTTTACTAAATCATCATTTAGTGCATTTCTGCTATAACTTTTTTCAGTTTTGTGTTATTTGAATTATTAGTTTGAATTTGCTCCTTAAGTTTAAATGTGCACATGTAGAAGACTTCCCCGTCTGATCCTTTGCTGTAAATCGGCCATTGTATAACATTCCTGTTAGAAAGGTGTTTTCAGCAGGCAGTAAAGGTCTGCTTCCAAACCGTATCATCCCACCTTTTCATTAACAGTTTGTGTTTGGCTGCAGCTGTGTCACAGGACCACAGGGATCAGCTGCCGTTTGCGTCTGTGTCGCTGGTTACGATGGAAACGGAACCCACTGCAGAGGTAGAAGCCCTGACTGCTGCCGTATGTCTGTTCCAGTAAATAACCTGGTTCTGACCCGTCCTGTCTTCCAGAGCTGGATCTGTGCAGCATTAGGAACGGTGGCTGCTCGGAGTTTGCCAACTGCACAAAGGTCTCTGCTGGTGAGAGAACCTGTACCTGCAAAGAGGGTTACACCGGTGATGGAGTCGTCTGTCTGGGTAAATCAAAGACCTCCTGATGCCCAAAGGAACAGAAACACTTCTGAAGGTTTGATTAGAGACCCAGAATCTACCGGAGGAAAGTTTAGTGTTGCTGAGCTGTATCTACTGCGGAATACAGTGATCTGTGATTGGGCTGGTTCCATGTCAGTTTATGGTCCTGTTTCTTTTTCCATCTGGCCGGAGATATTTGAAGTTAAATAAAGGTTTGGGCCCTTCTTACCCAAATAGGGTTTTCTAAAAAAATCTTTAGAAAATAAAAAAAAATAAATGGACCTAAAGCCATCTTTATTTTCCCAATAAAAAAAATATCCCAAAAGTACAACGGAGTATAAGCTAGAGATAATTTTTTTCCTATTTCAATAATAAAGTCTTAACATTACGAGAATAAAGTCGTAAAATTACGAGAAAAAAGTTGTAACATTATGAGAAAAAAGTCGTAAAATTACGAGAATAAAGTTGTGAAATTGGGAGAATAAAGTCGTAAAATTGCGAGAATAAAGTTGTAAAATTACAAGAATAAAGTTGTAAAATTACGAGAAAAAAGTTGTAACATTATGAGAAAAAAGTCGTAAAATTACGAGAATAAAGTTGTAAAATTATGAGAATAAAGTAATAAAATTACGAGAAAAAAGTTGTAACATTACGACAGAAAAGTTCTAACATTACGAGAAAAAAGTCGTAAAATTACGAGAATAAAGTTGTAAAATTATGAGAATAAAGTAATAAAATTACGAGAAAAAAGTTGTAACATTATGAGAAAAAAGTCGTAACATTACGAGAATAAAGTCGTAAAATTATGATAATAAAGTTGTAAAATTACGAGAATAAAGTCGTAAAATTATGAGACTAAAGTTGTAAAATTATGAGACTAAAGTCATAACATTACGAGAATAAAGTTTTAACATAACGAGAATAAAGTTGTAATATTACGAGAGTGAAGTCATCGTATAACAACCTTTTCCAGAAAGAAAGCTTGGAGCTCCGCCCAGCAGATGGCGGCCGACCAGTTCCACCAATCCTGCCCATCCTGCCCAGTTTGATGCTGCTGCTAAAAGATTTCCTTATTCATCAAACCATAGCCAAAGTATAACTTCACATGATGCTCGAGATTTCATCATTTTAGGGAAGAAAGGGCTTCTTGTAAGAGTTGTAAAAAAATACAACTTGTTTCTCGTTAAAGTTTATTGTCGTAATCTTACGAGTTTATTCTAGAAGTAGAAGAAAAAAAATCTCTAGCCTTGCCCTAATTCTCTTTCATACAAAATAATCTAAAATCTTAAAAATAAAAACATCAAAGAAACTAGACATACAGTGTCCATTTATCATAACTAAGCATACTTATTCTGCTGCCAGACATAGTATCGCATTTATAACCTTATAAATGAGCTAAAAAGTAATATTGGAAAAGATTAAAATGTCATATTTTGAAGCTTATGAGTAAAAAGGACCTTTTGTGTAGACCAAAAATCCAGAACTTATATTCTGAAGGAATCATAACCCGTTATTTTACTTATATGCACTCCTGAATGTTTTGTAAATTCATGTTCAATCATTAAAAAAAATTAACTAGGCTCTTTTCAGACCCTTATTTTTTATATTAACCTTGTTTTGTAAAAAATAAATTTATAATATTTATTCCTTCCTGTTAAAAGGGAGTTTTTCCTCTCCACTGTCGCTACAAGCATGCTTAGTGTGAGGGATTGCCTTCGAGTCATGAGTCGATGCAATCAGCTGGTCTCCCTTAGATAGAAAACTTTCAATAGATTGGACTGGATGATATGGTGAACTGGAAAGTGCCTTGAGATGACATGTGTTGTAAATTGGTGCTATAGAAATAAACTGAATTGAATTAAAAGTGATTAATTAATAAAAAAGTAGATGCAGAAAAAGAAATTCTTCAGTATCTTTTGGGTTTCACACAAACCAAAGCTTAAAATGCGTTTCTGGAATGGCATGCGTTACCTGAAAATGTACCCCCTGCTTGTTTCTGCAGAAATCGATGGCTGTCTGGTCAACAATGGAGGCTGCCACAAAGCAGCAGAGTGCACCCGAGCTGGCCCAAATATTGTAAGAAGCGCTGCTGCGCTGAAAAAGCTCCTGCTCTAAGATGAAAAACACTTTCTTCTGAAATGCTCGTCTCTTCCACAGACTGCCTGCAGGTGTCTGACAGGCTTCGAGGGAACAGGGAGGTTCTGCCACCCAGTCAACCCCTGCAAAACCGTACGACACTTTCCCTCCAAAACACAAACTACTGCTTAGTAAATGCTTTAGAGATTCAATTAAAATAGGAATAATTTTCTTCTGGCACCAGTGAGGATTCAGGTGCAGTGTTTCCAGGGATGAAATTATGGAGGATAAAAAGTGCCACAATTAAATAAATAAATACAGCGATAAACAATTAATTAAATGTGTAATTCATTAAATAAATAAGGAAGTAAATATATAAATGTGTCATTAATTTAATAAAATATGTCTTCATTTTATTAAAAAAATATATATAATTATTTCAGTGTGCATTTAATTTTTTCATGGTCCTGTGTCGCAGTGCATCGAAACCATTAAAAGAATCTGTCAAACTCACCCATCAAAGTTAGGGGGCGGGGTTAACGCGAACCGAGTCGCCACCTACTGTATCAGAGTATGTTCACAACCTGTGGATCACAGTCTCTGTAATGGATTTGCTTCGCCTTAATGTGCAGGGTGACCAATCAGGTGTTAGATAACCGCCCCCTAACATTGATGGGTGAGTTTGACAGATAGTTGACAGATAGTCCACGCCACCATCGCTCTATAACACCATGTTCTCTTGGTTTGTTCGACAGGCAGGTAACCAAAAACATCTTTCACTTGATTGGAAGGTGGAATAATTAGGAATGTCACCAAAAAAGTCAATCTATTAGAAGTAATTTCAGGTGCTTTTGTAATAATGACATTTTTAAAGAATTTTATCAGAGAAAATTTCATTTTGCTCCTTACAAGCAGCCGTGGTAACTGATGGTGCATGTCTCTAATACTTGTTCTGAAAGAACAGTTCAAGACAAGCTAAGCTGCTTTATTTTTTGCAACCTGTAATTTGTTCAGGTGATTTTCTGTAGCTGTTGCACAAATTATGGAACAGTAGTCCAGATTACGCTGGAAAATAGAAAAAGTTTATTAAATTAAGTTTATTTACCCTTAATTTGAGTAGGTAAATGAGATAGTTTGCCAATTTTTACTCTTAAAATAAGATAATTAGATAATATGAACTTGAAATAAGACAATGCAATTGTGTTTTCTTATTTTAAGTGTAAATTGTCTTGTTCCATTGGCAAGATGTCACCTTTACTTCCTTAATCCAAGAACAAATGCACTTATTTTAAGAAAAAAACGACTTATCTACATTTCATTTTTTTCCAGTGTACACAAAACGATTGATTTCACCAAAGTTTTCCGTATTTTAGTTGGTGTGCATTTTCTACAGCGCCAAACTGCTGCCATTCTGTTCTGTAAAGCAGTGTTTCTACCTGTGACCTCTCTGCAGAACAACGGCGGCTGCAGTAGATACGCAATCTGCCGGTATATGGGGGAGGGCCAAAGGAACTGCACCTGTCGAAGCAGCTACATTGGGGACGGCTTCGACTGCAGGGGAAATACCTACAACGTGAGTCACATGACCTCTAAGCTCCTGCTGGGCTCCTACACCCAGCCACACATTCAGAGGCTGTTTGATCCCGCAGGAGGTGCTCCGGCAGTCAGAGAACAGATTCTTTCAGAAAATGATGTCGGTAAGTGAATCCATACCGCATTTCATAAGGAAATATTTGAAAGTTATCGGTCTGATTATGATTTATTTTATTCAAATCAGACGAAATTGGTGTCAATTAACTCAGCTCCGTTTGTGCAGCAAAAATTGTTGTTTGCGCTGCTTTGGATTTGAAGATTTGAAGAAAGTGTGTGTGTGTGTGTGTGTGGGAGGGGGGGGGGTGCTGGTTGACCAGCACAAACGTTTGATACCAATTTTGTCTAATTTGAAGAAGGTGGGGGGGCTGGTTGACCTTTTGACCTTTACATTTTCATTAATATTTTCAAAGCCAAAGCAGCACAAACAACAATTTTTGCTGCACAAACCAGCACAAACGTCTAATTTGAAGAAGGTGTGGGGTGGGGGGGGCTGGTTGACCTTTGATGACCTCTAGAAATATTTCTTTATATCTTTAAAATGAAAGTGGCACAAACAAAAAATTTTGCTGCACAAACGTTTGACACAAATTTTGTCTGATTTGAAGAAGGTGGGGGGCCAACTTCACTCAGGTGCTTGGGTTAAGCGTGAAAGAAATTGGATGGATATGTAGTTCAACCTCGGCCATTAAAGGAATAGTACACCCAAAACATGATTAGCCTTCATTTTCTACTCACCCCCATGCTGAACAACACTGTGGAGTACTTTTTTGATATCTCAAATGCATCTGGAGATCTGGGAGCATAAACAGTAGTGTATAGGATTTCCTGAAAGCGCGTTCACGACGCTACGGAAACCGCGGCAGACCAAACCAGATGAAAGTGCGCATTCAGCTCGGCAAAGAACTCATGCTCTTCCTCAACACTGAAGTCCTCAGACATTTTTCTTTCGTTGTTTCTTTCTTTGCACAGGTAAACAGCACATTTCTTCTTCTACGCTTCCATTATCGGCAGAGCAGATGCTGAATGCGCACTTTCATCTGGTTTGGTCTGCCGGCTTCCGTAGCGTCGTAAAAGCGCAGGTGCGCGCTTTCAGGAAATCCTATACACTACTGTTTATGCTCTAAAAACATTCTAAATGACTTCGTTTCGAGTAAATTCTGGATGCTACCCACTCAGGACACTTGGAATACATTGGACGAGCAGTATGGAGGAATATTGACACGTTTTTTGTGAACTTTTATGGACCTTTCTGTCTCGGGCACCATAGACCTCCATTATTTGAATGTCAGCAGACAGCAAGAAGCCTCCCAGATCTCCAGATGCATTTGAGATATCAAAAAAGTACTCCAGAGTGTTGTTCAGCATGGGGGTGAGTAGAAAATGAAGGCTAATCATGTTTTGTGTGTACTATTCCTTTAAATAGGTGTGATAGGTCGACCATTTGACAGCAAAAGTCGAGCAGATGTGACATTCTATGACGTCAGCAGTGATAGCCATACCAGTCCAGGGACTGACTGCAGTTCTACTGTAAGGTGCCTTGGTCAAGGTTAATGACCGGCGTACTTGACATGTAACAACCAGACCATGCATATTGCTTTAGGTTAATAGATTACATTAATTAGGCTATGTATGCTTCCAAAACAAACAAAAAACATTTTTTTTTTACAACCAGACAACTGGTTTCCGCCCTAGTTCAGACTCACTGAGCGGCTACATTAGCTGTTTAGCTGATGCACCCCTGAACCCCGCATTTCTCAATCATGGTAAACAATGGTGTCGGTATCTGCTGATGTCCACACTGTTCACCTTTTCTGTTCTGTTCCCAGAAATCCAGCAGTCGTCCCTTTGGTAACGGACCGTTTACCATCTTCGTGCCTCTGGAGGAAACCAACAATGACTCCATAGTGAGGGCAACAAACCTCTAATATCTGACACAGCTTCATACATTCTCAGCTTTGTTTCATCCTCAACCAGCAGGCAGGACAGCTTCATGCTGGCGTTAGGAGTCATTGGTCTGGCTCTTGCTTTGTGTTTCAACAGATTGATGAATGGAAGGAACGGGGCCGCCTGGAGCACATGGTTGATTACCACATGGTTTCCTGTGAGATTCTGACCTTAAGTGACCTAAAAACCACCAGCAGTGTGGTCTCTCTGTCGGGATACACTCTGGAGTTCAGTGTGAAGGAGGTAACACACTCACAAATAATAATAATAAAAAAAAAGCTCTTATTACAAAACTTCCACTGGATTTTTTAACATGAACTTCTATTTTAACACCTTCAGCTTCAGAAAAGGCTCAGACTGCCTTTCAGTTTTACCTGAAACCAACTGAAAAGTCTCTGATTAAGGTTCAGATGTGCTGTGTGGTTTTAGCTCCATCAAGCACTGAATCCATCTCAAAATTATTTCATATATCAATTAAAAAATATCTAAAGAGCAAAGATTACAATTAATAAAAACAGGCTGCCCGCGGGTCCTTAAAAAGTCTTAAAAGGCATTGAATTCTTCAAAATAAAACTAAGGCCTTAATTGGTATTAAAATGTCTTAAATCAGTCTTTCGTTGGTCTTAATTTTTAAAGCATCATAAATAGGATTATTTTTCTTATGATTTATTTTTGTAATCTAAATAAAACATTAAAATTTACCTTTCTTTTTTTTTATTTAAAAAAAATAACAGCTCGCCATTATTGGTTCCACTGGTAGCACTGGTTATGTTGTGGCTTTTAAACTGATTTGTTTTGTTCCCTGCTAAAACAAAGTTTGTGAATTCCGTTAAATAATTGTTGTTTTTAGCTTTCTTCCTGTATGGGAAGCTTTTCAAAATTTGAAACATTAGTGCAGTGGTTTATGTTTAAATAAACCTTTGGGTTAAGTTGTCGCAAGCAGGTTTTTCTTGTGTTTCTTGTAAATTTGTTTTTAAATTTTTATTTCAAGTGGCATTAAAAAGACTTAAAAAGACTTGAATTTAATTTGCCTTTTGCTGTAGGAACCCTGAAGAGTATGACTGAGGAATTAAAGTTCAAATAATCATCCATTTAAGAGTGTTAATCTGTCATATGTCACTCCTAATTTTGGATTCAGAACCAGGTGGAGTTTAAAGGTAGAATCTTGGCAAATTTCAGACAAAGAGGCAGTGAAGCACAACGTGCAAATCCAGCGTTTCTCCAGCATTTATCCTCAATCACTCTGTTTAGATCCAGCTGGTCAGGTTGTCCGATTCCATCTCCTTACCATCATGTTTTATGTTAGCTGGGAATCAGTTTTTAAAATCACTGTGGAAGAACTTTGACCCACAGCGTTTTCGAGCATAAATGGCCCATTTAAGGTAACCTAAAGTATCTTAACCGCTTAAACGAATAGTACACCCAAAACATGATTAGCCTTCATTTTCTACTCACCCCCATGCTGAACAACACTCTGGAGTACTTTTTTGATATCTCAAATGCATCTGGAGATCTGGGAGGCTTCTTGCTGTCTGCTGACATTCAAATAATGGAGGTCTATGGTGCCCGAGGCAGAAAGGTCCATAAAAGTCCACAAAAAACATGTCAATATTCCTCCATACTGCTCGTCCAATGTATTCCAAGTGTCCTGAGTGGGTAGCGTCCAGAATTTACTCGAAACAAAGTCATTTAGAATGTTTTTAGAGCATAAACAGTAGTGTATAGGATTTCCTGAAAAAGCGTTCACGAGTCTACGGAAACCGCGGCAGACCAAACCAGATGAAAGTGCGCATTCAGCTTGGCAAAGAACTCATGCTCTTCCTCAACACTGAAGTCCTCAGACATTTTTCTTTCGTTGTTTCTTTCTTTGCACAGGTAAACAGCACATTTCTTCTTCTACGCTTGCATTATCGGCAGAGCAGACGCTGAATGCGCACTTTCGTCTGGTTTGGTCTGCCGCGGCTTCCGTAGCGTCATGAACGCGCAGGCGCGCGCTTTCAGGAAATCCTATACACTACTGTTTATGCTCTAAAAACATTCTAAATGACTTAGTTTCGAGTAAATTATGGACGCTACCCACTCAGGACACTTGGAATACATTGGACGAGCAGTATGTAGGAATATTGACACGTTTTTTGTGGACTTTTATGGACCTTTCTGCCTCGGGCGCCATAGACCTCCATTATTTGAATGTCAGCAGACAGCAAGAAGCCTCCCAGATCTCCAGATGCATTTGAGATATCAAAAAAGTACTCCAGAGTGTTGTTCAGCATGGGGGTGAGTAGAAAATGAAGGCTAATCATGTTTTGGGTGTACTATTCCTTTAAGCCCTGAGGGTCTTGGGAGCAAATTCAACCTGAAATTACATATGTGAATTAAATCAAGTAAAGCTCCCAAACTATAAATTGGAAATGCAATTGTTTGTAAAAGTATGACAAAAAAAGCAGTGAGGAATATTTTTTCAGGCGGAACCGAACTGGAACTGATTTGTAGGTGATTATACAGAGAAAAAAAATGAAAAATATTTAGCCACTGCAATTTTTTTTCCAAAATAAACACTACAAAACAATTAGTTTTTTTGTACATGACTAAAGGGATACACGCCCATTGAGGTAGATTGGAGTGTATCTTTTGGTACAAAACTAAAGGGATAAACGGGTACCGGTATTTACTATGGGTATGCTGGTCTGAAGGGGTATGCTCATCTGACAGAACACCGGTTCTTCCGCAAGGTTCTGCATCACATCTGGCTGATGATCCAATCCTGGGTTCAGCAGCAGCTAGCCAAGAAACAATGTCCGGTTTTATTAGCCTGTATTTGATTCTTAATATTAAAATTATTTGGGGTTTTTTTTTGTGCAGCACTTTGATGATAAAGTGTTTCATAACTTAAGTTGGATTAGATTGGCGGGATTGATTTATTTTGTGTTAAATGTTTGACTGGTAATTGTCTTCGTTAGGTCCGCAATTGTTCTGGTCTGGAATTCTCCTATTGAGTCCTCTTTGGTTAGTCCCTCCTCCTCACTATTAAATCATCTATGATGGTTGGTATCTGCTGGAAAATCCTCCACTCTCCCATGCTGTCTCCATGCGTGGAGGATCATTCTGACTCTGATAACCAGACAACCTTCTTTTGAGCATATAAATCTATGAGGATAGTAAAAATATTTTTTAAATAACCTGAAGGCAGGCTCTGACATTTAAATCAGAAAAAGGCAGTTGAAGAAGGTCAAAGGTCAAGTTTAATGTGTTTGTATGAACTTGTTCCTGTTCTGCTTGTTGGCAAGTGAGAAAAGCACTAAAGCAACAGAGAAAAAAAGTCATCCAGACTTTCAGGCGTCTGCAGGTTGTTAACAATCACCCCTGAACCTCCGCAGGGTTCGGTTTGGATCAACAACAAATCCATGATCGTGAAGAGCGACTACACCACAACCAACGGAGTCATCCACCACATCGACAGGGTGCTGACGCCGTACAGCCTGCAAGACAAGCCGCAGATTAACATTAAAGTACTTTGGTCAATGTACTTAAAATATGCTAACAGGAATCTAGACCAACATGCAGTAACGCCGCTGTTTCTGTGTTTAGATGAACTTCAGCACTGCGGCGACGTTTTATGGCTATGGACGCTTTTATAAGCTCATTGAGGTAAATACAACAAATCTACATCATTAGATCTTATCCTGCTGCCCTTCTCCTCTTCATTGTGATAGAGTCCCATCCTCCCCTTATCACTTCCCCCTGATAAATCAATATGAACTGATCCTGAGTGTTTTAGCTGCAGCAATGGGACTGGACACCTACGTTTACTGAAAATAGCTGATGTCGCTTGTAATTTTTATGTGAAGGATGCAGGTCTGCTCCCAGTGCTCCGGATGTCCATCCACCAGCCCTTCACCATCTTCTGGCCCACTGACAAGGCCCTGGACTCCCTGCCAGCCGAAAGGCAGCGCTGGCTCTCCAGTCCGGACCACCAGGACCAGCTAACTGCTACGATCAAGGCTCACATCATCCGCAATTTCGGGGTAAGAGGAGGAGAGAACAGTCATAATGTGATGATCAAAGCATGGATGGAAACGCAGTAAAGCTGAGTTTGCCAAATTTTCAGGCAGGATAAAGGCATCTAGAAAATAAAGCGAAATGTTAAGCTGAGGCTGAGGGGAAGGAGGGGCATTTGGTAGCTATGGGTCCAGCAACATCAATGTTTCGGGTCATGCTTTGAGCCCATGCACTGTATCGGTGCGCATGTTGTTTCAAGAAAGTCATGTGACCGATAGAGGAGTTGTTTCTAACTGACTGACTTTCTAAACTGTGTTTAAAAACCTAGCTGTCAACATGATGCATCTGTTAAAAAAAATGTCTCATCTTTTGCGGTTTATCATTAAACAGGGTTCCCGCGGGTCCTTAAAAAGTCTTAAAAGGCATTGAATTCTTCAAAATAAAACTAAGGCCTTAATTGGTATTAAAAATGTCTTAAATCAGTCTTTCGTAGGTCTTAATTTGTAAAACATCAGAAATAGGATTATTTTTATTACGATTTACTTTTGTAATCTAAATAAAACATTAAAATTGACATTTTTTTTATTATTTTTTTTTTTTTAAATAACAGCTTTTCATTATTGGTTCCGTCCCGATAGCAGAACCAATAAAAGCGTTGTTGCAGCCGGGACATTTGGGAGATGCGCCATTTACTTTTTGTCTGGAAAATATGAGCAAGTGTAAATTTAACCAAAATTGTCTCCAGCCAAGAGTTTTCTCCATGGCTAAAACCAGGGAACATACATGAGGCTCAGTGGATTTTGTGCAAGAAGTCATTGAAGCTCAGAACGATGGGAATTAAGGCAGTGGAGTCGCACATGCGAAGCACGAAACACAAAGCGTCAAAATGGAGTTACAGAGAAACAGCCGGTATTTCTCAGTTTAGTTCCACCCTTGTCTCTGCAACGCCTCCACTTATCACCAAATCATACTAAGAAAACCATACAAAGAAAAATAGCTGCAAAAAAAGACTTATCACTGGTTATGTTGTGGCTTTAAAACTGATTTGTTTTGTTCTCTGCAAAAACAAAGTTTGTGAATTCAGTTAAATAATTGTTAAAATATATCTGTCATTTGTGTGTTTTTAGCTTTCTTCCTGTATGGGAAGCTTTTCAAAATCTGAAACATTAGTGCAGTGGTTTATGTTAAAATAAACCTTTGGGTTAAGTTGTCGCAAGCAGGTTTTTCTTGTGTTTCTTGTGAATTTGGTCTTAAATTTTTATTTCAAGTGGCATTAAAAAGTCTTGAAATTTAACTTGCCTTATGCTGTAGGAACCCTGTACTGAACTTATTGTTTTAAAATATTATGTAATAACCTAGGCTACAAGCATCCTCATTCATATTTTCCCCTAAATGTTTACATTATGATATATTTTTACATTATTTATTGGCTGCACCTAAAAATATCAAAGATGTTTTCAATTTAGACATAGATGTAAATTAATACATAAAATCCATTCAGTTCAGTCTTTTAAATCAGCAGCATGTTGTGTCTTTAAATGTCCAGCAGGGTTCAGTATTCTGTGAGACAGTATCAACGCAGAATCAATCAAGTTTGGCAAAGAGTCGAAACGCTTAAAGATGCCTCATTAACCCTTCATGAGGCATCCTATCGCTGACGTACGGAGAAAAATAGGGAAAGAAAGTTCTGCATGAATTTAGCTCCACAGATTCACTTCCTGTTCCTTTTCACCTCTTCCTGGGGAGTTCTGATTATAGTAGTTCTTTATACCCCTGAAAGTCAGTGCATATGGAGGACCAACTCTGCCATATTTAATAATAAATACAGAAATAAATAAATGCTCAATAAATGAATAAGCATATAATTAATTGCCACCAAAAATACAATAAACAAATAAATGTAAGTAGAAATTAAATTATACAGTGAGACATAAATGTATATAACTCTTTTATTTAGCTTCTTTTTTTATTTGCCTTTGTAATATTTACCTTATTTTTTTTGTCCTTTATAATCTTCAACTTTATTTTTTAATTACTTATTTTTTTAAGTATTTATTTATGTGCATGTGATGATATTTTTGTCTGTTTTATTCACTGCTAAATTTATTTATTTTTTTCTTACTGGTATGTAGGCTATAAATTACATTTCTTTGGTTTGTAGGAACTAAATGTTACGCTACCAGGCTATAAAAAATACCATGAATTTTAAAAGTTTAAAAGTTGGCAATAAAACCGGTGTGATGCTTTCCTGATCAGACATTTTTGGTTCTCTGATCTGGAGGGTTAAACGTGTTTTTATCTTTACCAGACTTCAAATTCTGTTTGTCCAAACTGGCTTGCTGTCAGATTCAAAACATTGAGGGTTAATTTAGCCACAGTGCAGTGATGCCAGTGGCTTTAAACCTGGAAGTTACAGGTGTAGAACCGCTGTTAGCTAAAAGTCATTGCTGCTCAAAGGCCTGAGCACAGCGGTGCCGTACGACTTTTTAATCTCCGATACAATGTTTTTTCCATGTCAAAATGACTGTGTATAGAGAGGCTCCGACTAGGCAGGGTGAGCAGATCTGCGCAGATTTTTTTTCACATCTGTTTCTGTGCTATAAACAAATTTAAACAAGTTCCCACATTTGACTTGACAGATTATGAAAAAGTATTTTAAAAAATTAAAAAAACACCCGTTCAGCTATAAAGCAAATCTCTACTTAATGAGTCTCTGCAGCATCTCAAACCAGATCAGATAGAGAATGCTTATATGCCTGTATTTAAAATATAAGATCTGCTGACTGAGGCAGAGAGGTGATTCTTAGAGAGATCTGGGAAGTTTATCCAAGTGTTTCATGTATTGTTTTTGCACCAGTCTGTCCTGCTTGCTATATATGTTTCAGGTTGGGTGGAGGTTTAAAGGACCCAAATGCAGAGACTGAAGCTGATTTCTTGAAAATTTAATTATCCAAAAAAGGCAACAGAAGCAAAAATCCACAAATACTGAAAACCAGGAATTCTCACAAGGGGGCAAATAAATTAAGACAAACCAGCAACAGTGACTGAGCAGGAGGTGTATATATAGGAGACAGAAACAAAGACCAGGCTAATCAGCAGATTGGGAGCAGGTGTGAACAGAGGAGTTTAGAAGGGAGCTAGGAAGAAGGAGACTGACACAAGAGAGCAACGGAGGGCAAACAAGAACTCAAATACAATAAAAAATTACTAGAATTACACCAAATGGAAATAAAATGAAAACGTAAAGATAAAACGTAAATAGAACCAAAACCATGACAATATTTGATGTGCGACTCCATACCTGACTCTTTCCCCATGTGATTAACTGATTTTGTTTTTTATTTCTCCCCAAAGGGGATGTGTTTTATGTCAGGTCTAAGCACCTAAAACATCATACATACATACAGGGAAAGAAAGAAGGCACAGAGACAATTTATTTAGTTACTCACAAGGAGAGTAGAAAGAGACTGCAGAGTTTACAATCTCCACCCCACTCTGCAGTCTTCAGCTTTCTCCTCGCCATTTATTGAAGAAAAGGGGATGTCCCTAATTACACCAGCTGAGGTTTAACTCAGGAAAAGGGAAACAAAAGGATCTTACTTTAAACCTCAGCTCATATGTTAAAACAAAGCATGTGGTTGTTTTACGATTGAATTGTTCCAAGAACACATGTTTAGAAGAAACATGTGATAGAGGATGTTCAGGCCGCTTTAACAACCCGTCCGTTGTATGACCTTTATCTGGAACAATCTTAAGCAAGAGTTAATAAAAGATGAATCACACATTATACATCATAATAGTTCATTAGAACACAACCCATGAAACACAAACAAAGTAAGAGTATAAATAAAATATTTCTTACATTTTACCTTGTAACAGCGTCTCTCTGCCTAAAATAAACCCACGCTCTATCTCAGTCAAAGCTACGCTGCCCCCTGCAGCAAATCGTGTCAGGTGTGATCATCCCCATTGACTTTCAATGAGCGCTAAAAGCAACATACTAGCTCGACGGTTTTCTGCCAGATCAGACACAAAACAAAAATGGATTCGGAGTGTTCTTGCCTTTAAGGAGTGCAGCATGTCACTGCAGTATTTGATGACCAGTGTTTACGTTGCATTTTATGTGCAGAAGATAAAAGTTGGCCAGGCTGGTAAATCTACATCATACCGGACCATGCATGGATCCACCATCAAGTTGAGCTGTGACAAGAAGCTGGTGGTAAGAGAGACACAACACCATTGTATGCTGATTGTTGCTGCTGCATAGCGGCATCTCGGTTGTGTTTACATCTCTGACCTGCAGATCATTTTGTTCTGCCCTTGTTCTGTTGCTACAATAATAAGAATGTGTTGTTTGTAATTGCTTGCTTAGGGATCTATATTGATCAATGAAAACGAAGCCAGGCTGGTGGATCGCTACATTTCCTTCATGGAGGGCGCGGGATTTGGGATCGACCAGCTTCTGGAGCCACCTGGACTGGGAGCGTTCTGCGACAGCATACAGAACAAAACTACTTACGTCAGTACCGCCAACACTGATAGGATAAAAGTGTTCAGATATTATACTGCAACAGATGAATGTTTTAAAGGGAAATTAAAAGAATATTACCTGGCCCTCACTGTTTTCTTAAATAGGGGAGAAAAACCTCAGATCACCAGTTTATGCTAGTGAAAATTCTGTTATCCAGGTTACAGTCATTCCAAAAAAGTAAAAAAAAACAATCTACTGAATATTATTTCTCAGCTTGAAGATGTTTCGCTTCCCATTCAGAAAGCTCTTTCAATTAAAAATCTCAGAAATTGCGTTGAGTTTGACGCTTTAAAGAGTGAACAAAAAAAAATAGGTGGTTTGAGACGGGGCTTATTTAGGACATTTCACTTAGCTGATTGCTCTTTCCTGTGTTTCAAAAAACACAGGAAAGAGCAATGTTCTCCATTTTTCATTTGGATGAAATAATAGCTGCATGAATCATGACAGCAGACAAGATAGAGGAGAGCAGGAGGCGGGGTTACCAATCTACTTTCTCTGGAGAGCAGAGTTCGCTGCTTTTAGATGTTGTCTCCAAAGTCTCCAGTAGCAGAAAAAAGTTGCTAGATTTTTAGCTAGGAGCTTTTTTGAAACCAAAGTGATAGAGGGGTCTTAAAAGTTACTAAATATGGTGACAAAGCGCTAGGTTGGCAACACTGCTCTTTGCATCATTTGTTTTCAAATGGTTTGCTGCTGTCTGTTTGGACCTTTCTGCAATATTTACCTGCGCTGACAGACATCTTCACAAAATGGCCAAATCTAAAAAAAAACAAAAAAAACACATAAACTTCCAAAAACATAAAACTTTTATATTAAGGAGTCTTTTGGGTTGATTGAGAACACAATTGTTACCCAATGATAAAACTAATCCTCAAAAATACAACTTGCCTAATAATTCTGCACACAGTGTAGCTGCGGTTGTTACAAGCAAGGATAGGGTAGCTCCGCCCAGTACGCATCAAACCCACTTTTTTCCACCACGCAGATAGAGCAGCTAAGATGCTTCAGCCGCTCATCGGAACTAAACTTGTAAAAGCATCAAAAAAGTGTGTGAACGTAGCATAACAGTGGCTAGCTTCCAGCCATGGCGTCCTGCACGAGTCGATTTGTTCATGTGTCAGGGTACGCACACAGGGGAGGGACAAGCAGATGACCATGATTGAAATGTCAGGAAGCAAACCAGTGATTGGGTGGGGTTATTCATTGATTTCTCACTGTAGCGGGGACCATTTATTTTAGTTTCACTTCCAGACCTTCTATTTCTGTCATGATGGGTTACAGAGTAAGCCCAATATGCAGAACACACACGGAGACTGGATAAAAAGTTTAACAAGGTTTATTGAAACACAAGCATATGAATATTGCACAGGAACTGGAACTGGTCAGGGGCAGGTTCACTGGAGTCTGCAGGGATGACAGTTCAGTTAGCAAACGGACTGATGAGTTATGAGTCTTAGATATTTCTGAGGAATACCTTGAAAGAGTCCGGGTTTCTCTTTGAGAGAGGAAACTGTTGGGTCCAGAGACTGTTTGTTCAGCAGAGTCCAATAATCGCTTCAGCGTCTTACTTCTGACTTTGAGGGCAGACCTCGATTTGAGTTTCTAGCTCTTAGCCAAGAGCTGCAGGGGAATCCACAGAAGAGTCTTCAGGTTTGGCTCACGAGGGCAGGCTCGGCAGGTTAAGCTCATCCAGAGCCTCAGGGAGAGACAGGATTCCTGTGAGGCAAAAAACAAGGAAGAGTTAGAATCTTATCTCATCTAGAGATAGCTAAGATTCTCAGGTTACAAGGCTCAGGTTGCTAACCAAACTAGATCAACACTGCGGCGTTGAAGCAAGGTCTGAAGGCAGGTTATATAGCGCTGGAACTCTGATGATGAGATGCGCCACAGGTGTGTTGGAGGCTCAGCTCAGGAGGACCCACGGCGCACTCTGCTGGAGGAAGGTGGTACAGCTCCAGATCCCAACAATTTCACTGCTTGCTAAGCGGCTGTGAGGAGATCTTTAAGCCACATGCTAAAAAATGCATCAGAATAGAACTCCTAGTGGGAGCCCACATGTAGACTCCCATTTACCCTCCTAGGCCTCTCTAGCTGAAACAGACAAACCATTAATTATACAGCCATGATCTTTTCTGGCAATCATTTTGAGCTAAAAACTAACAATATAAAGTAGATTTTTTTTAGAGAGGCTTTGTGGACTTGGAGAAGGCGTTCGACCGTGTCCCTCGGGGAGCCCTGTGGGGGGTTCTCCGGGAGTACGGGGGTGCCGGGCCCTTTGATACGGGCTGTCAGGTCCCTGTATGACCGGTGTCAGAGTCTGGTCCACATTGCCGGCAGTAAGTCGGGCTCGTTTCCGGTGAGAGTTGGACTCCGCCAGGGCTGCCCTTTGTCACCGATTCTGTTCATTACCTTCATGGACAGAATTTCTAGGCGCAGCCAAGGTGTTGAGGGGATCCGTCTTGGTGGCCTTAGGATTGTGTCTCTGCTTTTTGCAGATGATGTGGTCCTATTGGCTTCATCATGTCGTGATCTCCAGCTCTCGCTGGATCGGTTCGCAGCTGAGTGTGAAGCGGCCGGGATGAGAATCAGTGCCTCCAAATCCGAGGCCATGGTCTTGAGCCGGAAAAGAGTAGAGTGCCCTCACCGTGTCAGGGGGGGTGTCCTTCCCCAAGTGGAGGAGTTTAAGTATCTTGGGATCTTGTTCACGAATGAGGGAAGAAGGGAGCGGGAGATCGACAGGCGGATTGGTGCAGCGTCTGCCGTGAAGCGGGCGCTGTACCGGTCCGTCGTGGTGAAGAGAGAGCTGAGCCAAAAAGCGAAGCTCTCGATTTACCGGTCGATCTACGTTCCTACCCTCATCTATGGTCATGAACTCTGGGTCATGACCGAAAGAACGAGATCGCGGATACAAGCGGCCGAAATGGGTTTCCTCCGTAGGGTGGCTGGGCTCTCCCTTAGAGATAGGGTGAGAAGCTCGGTCATCCGGGAGGGACTCGGAGTAGAGCCGCTTCTACTCCACGTCGAGAGGAGCCAGTTGAGGTGGCTTGGGCATCTGGTTAGGATGCCTCCTGGACGCCTCCCCAGTGAGGTGTTCCGGGCATGTCCCACCGGGGGAGGCCCCGGGGAAGACCCAGGACACGCTGGAGAGACTATGTTTCTCGGCTGGCCTGGGAAAGCCTTGGGGTTCCTCCTGAGAAGCTAGAAGAAGTGGCTGGGTAGAGGGAAGTCTGGGCCTCCCTTCTTAAGCTGCTGCCCTCGCGACCCGATCCCGGATAAGGGGAGAAGGATGGATGGATGGATGGGAGCCCTGAGCTTGTTTCTCTGAAACAAGCCGGTCCGATCCAGGCGTAATCGGAGACAATGTCTCAGTCTGCTCCGTAGCTTTGTTTTGGTTGCTGTAAACGCAGAAAATCCCGCTTCACAAAGATAGGATGTTATAGATAGGATGCGTCTTGAGCTGGTACCGGTCCGCGGACCGGTGGTCTGAAGGTCTATCTATCATCAGACTCTGGTCTATCTATCATTTATTATCTAAGTGCCATTATTAGATAATTAAAATGATTTTTCCACTCTGACCTTGGGCTTTAAATGCTGGATTGTCCACAGAAGAGTTGCAGCTGTCTGATATGTTCTTCTTTTGGAACAAGTCTTCCTCTCTGTACTGTAGATTGTGTGATTCTGTTTGAGCTAAGGATCTATCTGACAATCATGATCTACACTGTCATGTTTCTGTTGGTAATGAATCATACCAAGTATAGAGTTTTCTTTAAATTACAGCTGTTCTATACATTTATATTCCTCCCAGAATTGGCTTTTGCTTTGAAATGTTTCAGGGCCGCTGTGGGAGCTGTTTGTTCCCTCCACGCTGTCCCCAACTCGACACGGTAAGGACCGACCATTCAGCTCTCCAACTATTCCTTAAGCTGTACACTGATTTGTTCACTGCTGTGACCATACAGGGGAAAATGATGAGCTGTATGCAGCCCCGCAGCAGGTATCGAGCCAGCTGGTATGATGACCTGAATCGTTATGGAAGAAAACGCTGCAAGAGAGTTTGTCAGTTTCCTGCCTGGGTCCCGAAATGCTGCAAAAATCACTACGGCAGCGAATGTCGTGGTAAGGTAGACTCTATAGATTTAATTTCCCCAATGGGATAACATTTGAAATGTGGGCTGACCCTTTGCTCTTATGTTCCAGTGTGTCCAGGTGGAGTTGAAGACCCCTGCAGCGGCCATGGAGACTGTGAAGATGGTGTTACTGGTTCAGGAGCCTGTAAATGCTACAAAGGATTCAAAGGAAAGTCATGTGACCTCTGCGAGACGGGTTACTATGGTACCAACTGCACAGGTACATCAGAAACAAGCAGACCAAAAAGTTTCAGTGACCATGTGAACCAAAGAAGTAGAAGCTCAATAAAACTTAAAAGAACACCTGTGTAAAACAGGCACATATAGCTTAGTCCATATGGAGTCATTGGTTGTTGTGGTAACCCCTCCTTCTTATGGACAGTAGGATGTAGGTGGAGACCACTGGATCAGTTTTTTTCTTAGGTTTCACCAAACAGAAACTGGAATTTACATATTCAGAAGAAACCATTGAACCATGTTTGGCGGAAACCTTTAGCTACCAACAAGTTTTTGTTTTTTTTGAGGGAAATAAGAAGAGATAAACAGACCCTTCACCTCTGTTTAGGGAGACAAGGTCAGAGCTTAAATGTAGTTGTGTTGTCTTCCATGTGGTCAGCAGCATATTTACCTGGAGGAGATGGATGAAGGGGCACAGCCTGAAGCACCTAGATATTTCTCTGACATTTTGACCATGTTCAAAGCTCCAACATCGTTATCTTTAAATTTAAAGTTGGATATTTGGATCCATTCTCCAGATAGAGAAATGTTAATAGAATAGACATCCATTATCTGTTCTAGGTTTTATCCCTCTCTTCTTCTTGTTTTCCTCTCTATGTTTTGTACTCAGCTGACTTTTCATGCTGTCTCTAAAGGAATGAAAGATTTTTTCCAAGCACTAAGCTCACTTAGCTGATTGCTCCTTCCTGTGTTTCCAAAAAGGCCAAAGTAAATGACCCAGTCCTTCTTTTCACTGTAGACAAGCATCATATCAATCATATCATGTTTTAAAATAAATTAAATGAAATGAAAGAATCTAGTAAGAGCAAGGCGAGTCTGAGGAATCCAGGAACAGAACTAGATGAGATGAGGCGTGCCAGGAAAGAACGCTGGATTATCTACTCACAAGGAGGCTAAAAAAAATCTGCCATTCACTGGATTACCGGTGGAGACAGGTTTAACTGATTGGGAGTCTGTATGGTCAGCACAGGTTGAAAGAATGAGCACTCAGCCTGGCAGAGAGGAGCAGAGCAGAATGTAAACACCAGTGATCAGTCAGGCCAGAATCATAAAAACGACCCATCTTACAGTAAAACTCGGACCTTTAGATTGGTTCTGGTGCTCCCCATCTCCCCATTTTTTTACACAGCAGAAAATAGGATCCTCCAAAGATCATGATTCAGTCATTAGCAATGAAAAGACCAGCTGGCAAGAGAGATTAATAGTAAATGAAATGAAACACAGACCATGAGGGTAAACAGAGATGTTCAGAGATGAACCAGCTACTGCCCTCTGCTGTAAACCTTCACCTTCTGCTCGTCATAAAAACCTGAACACATCAGATAACTCTGCTCCATCGGCTCCCAACCGTCTGTCACCATAGCAACCACCGCTCAGCCGGATTTGTTCATGCCTCTTAACTAACCTGCTTCTGTGTGAAACTTTAAACTAAGTTCTATAGAGGCAGCGATTCCTGATTCTTTTCACACTTACAGGCGTTCAGCTGATGTAGACTTTTTTTTTTTTAAACATAGAACCAGCATGACTAAAATTACTGGGATATTCTCACAGCACTGTTGGCTGAGACAATGTGTGAGGTCATGCCTGTTTCCTAGCCTGCAGCTGCGTGAAGGGGAGCTGCGATGACAGCATGGATGGGACCGGCCAGTGTGTCTGCCAGCCAGGTTGGGAAGGAGATCGCTGCCAGAACAAGATTGGTGAGTATGAGAGGAGTATTAGGTCAATGCATGAGCTCAAGATAAAAACTGTTCTTCCTTAGCAGCAGTATAATGCTAGGGATGGTAAAAGTATATAATTAATATGGTAGAACCATATGAAAAAAAGACAAAAGACCTCGATTTCTATCCCTAAATCCAATGCTTCCAAGGAGAAGACCGGTCAGCAATGAATGATCAATGGATCATTATCTAGTAAAGTCCAGATCTGGACCCACCTGCTGGCTAAACTGGACCCAACCTGATTTAAAACATTTAGAAATTACCACATGTTGTCCAACGAAAGTGTCAAATTTCGCTTGCGCCGTTTCTCCTGTTAATACGGTAAAGCCCTCTGGAGCGTCCGGCTCCAGGCTGCACGTGATCCAAATGAGCCAATGAGCTGTCAGTCTGGGTTGCTGCTGCTGCTACTTTTAGACACAGCAGGCAAACCTGTGGCAAGCCGGGCGATGGGAAAGAAGGAGAAGACGATGAGAAAAAGAGAGCAGAGAAAGTGTGGACTGCTGGAAGAACTGCGGTGAACTGGTGAAAGAAAAGTGAAATGGTGCTCAAAGATGACCCTGCACATTTAGAGGATGTTTGGCTCAACCTGCTGCTGCGAAGCAGGATTCTCCACCATGAACAGAATCAGAAATAAATCTGGATCCAGGCTCAAAATGAGCTCCTTGATATGTGCTTGAGAATGGCTTAGTCTCCATTTAAACCCAGGTTTAAAGCCTTGCAGGGCAGCCTAAAGCCCACTGCCAACATTAAGACAGAAATAAGAAAAATAACAGTCAGTTCAAGTGTTTTATAAAATATGCGAATCGGGAAATTGTCTGTATACATAATTGAACGATTGTTCTCTACTTCAAAAAACACTTTAGATTTTAAAATGGAAAAAGGTTCCATTTTTTTTTTTTTTTTTTTTCTTATCTAAAAAGTCAATGTATAGCATGGATGCATAAAAACCTCATTTTATTTCAGTGTTAAATTCTGTTTAAAGTAACAGATTATATTTGAAAATGTCTCCGGACCTTTACTGGTTGATGATTTTCTTTATTTGGACCCCGCTGATTATTAATTGGTAACCCCTGCTTTAACAACTAGGCCGCCACTCCTCAAATCAGGCATTAGCATGAAGAGTCTTGCCTAAGGTCCCACACTGGAAGCCCAACCCAGGCCTCCTGTTTGCAGGATGGGTGACTTACCACATGATCTTGCCAGCCGCTCTGTGAAGAGTGCATTAATGTAGAACGATCCAGCTTTGATTTTAAATCTACATGGCCTTCCACACTTTTTCAGGAAAATCAAATATTTGTCACCAGGCTGATGAACTATTATGTTTCTTAATTATCACTGAGGAAGTTAGAATAAATCAATAATAAGGAATTAGATCAAATATGAATTATTTATTAACTGCTTGTATAAGTAGATAAAAAGTGGCCTTGATTAATAGTCATGTTGTGATCTTCTGTGTGCTTCCAGGCTCAGTCCCTGAGAATTGCCGGCAGTGCCATGCCCAGGCCAGGTGTGTGTTCGATGTCGGCTGTCAGTGCATACCTGGATACGAGGGCAATGGTACTTTCTGCAGTCCAGTTCCACGTGAGTCATTTTCAGCTGAATCCTTAGTGATTATTGGCTTTCTTTTCAAAATTAAAACAATAAATCAACCTTGACAACCTAAATCTGCTACTTGCTACCATTCAGCAAGGACATTAATCCCTGGTAAACAAACTGCAGGCTACAGGATGAGCAAACTGAGGTCAGAACGCCGTCCTGTGGTGTCTGATAACGTCTGGCTATCAGCCTGCTGGGTAGATCAGTTTGACCCAGATGTGCTTCAGATAAGCTGCTTGCCTCTTCTGCACCTTCGGTCCTGCTCACAGAATGACACAAAAAAGCACAAACTCATGTTTTTATATTTATGCTTCTCCAAAGTATTTGCCAAGACCTTTGTTATGCACAAAAATCTGTTTAAAGATAAAATCCTTCTCAGTGTGTTACAGCCTTGCAGCGCTGAGCCACAAAACCCATTTCTGTTTTAAAAAATGATCAAGATTAAGAGTTCTGATAAACTTTCTCCAGGTCTGGATGATGAAGTCTGGTATAGAAATCATGTTTCCAGTTTGATCCATATCGTCTCATTGATGGGTGTTTGTTAAATTAATTAGGCAGGGTTCACAATAATAGATTGTCAGAAGAGGCACTGATTAAATATAAACAATAGACTCAATTAGATCCACTCTAAATTTTTATACACTGCCAAATCTCATTAATTGTCATTTTTAATATAATTTATATAGTAAAACATTCTAATATATAGCCAGCTGCTGTTAGGATCTTAAATGCTTGACTTACAATTTGCTTTTTTAAGTATTTTAAGTACTTCTTTGCGTTTTTATGCTCTTTATGTTTTGCTTTCTTAGGTCATTTATTGCTTGTTTTTGTGCCATGTTTTTTGTTTCGGTTCCTTCTGTTGTGTTCTATTGTTTTTCATCCAGTTTAATTCATGTTACACTATATACACTGTTTTTTTCCCTTTTCGGGCCGATTCTCCAGTCATGCGAGACTTTTTTTAATCCAGCCGACTTTCAGCCTGATCGTGCATCCGGCATCGTGTAGTATACAGGGGGTAATGATGGGTGATCAGCCTCTCACAACCACCTCCCCATCAGGAATCGTAAGGTCGGGAGACAATCAAACATGTTTGAAATTCAGTCGGACATCGTTAGGTGGTCGTGGGCAAATCCTGCTGTTGAAGCCGAGCTACGAGCCGATTTACCAGAACCTCGAGCACTACACATATGTAAATAAGGGAGTTCTTCTTCCAGATCGACGAGTCCGAACCAGCACCATCTCTCAGCACTGAGTCAAACGTGTGGTTTTTGGAAATGCAGTGTGAGCAGGTAGATCGCATCGGCGCATGAGCTGTGAACTTTTAAACCCTACGGTTTCGTCTTACAGTTTGAGCTGTAGCTGCGTGAAACGATTGAAAATATCGCACAGTGTATGTCCGGTCAACACGCATGCGCAAGATGTCCGATTTGCGTTTATCCCTTTAGTTTCGCACGAAAAATAGACTTTAAACTACCTCAACAGGCGTATATCCCTTTATCCATGTACAAAAAAGCAGTTTAAGGTCAGATCGCCATACACTTAAAAAAACAACAAAAGTAAGTCATTAGATAGTTTTTTTCATACAAAGCTAAAGGGATGAAGGGGTATTGAATATAGGTATGCTGGTCTGATGGGGTATGCTCATCTGACAGAACACCGGTGTAGGTACCAGATCTGCTTCATGCCAGTGACGTTACGCTACATGATTGGCTGAATGTTGCCACATGATGTTGTTTAAGCTCATTGGTAGAATTCCCTTATGACAGAAAGAAGGCCACGATTCACACCATTTTATCATCCGGAGGGGGGACACATTTAATTACAACAAACCGAATTCATACAGCTGTCTTAAACACTTCATACATCCAGCAACGCATCGTCAAATTCTGTTATTCCCCCAACCTTCAGTCGATTCTAGGCGGCATTTATAATTTCCTCATCGCATTACGTAACTGCACATGCAAAGGAATATCATGTCGAAAGCTTACTGAAATTCACGTGGGCTGGTCGACGCCAGCAGTCAATTTGACACTGGGAGGAATGTTTATACAGATGTTCTCTGTTTATGCCAAACCTCCTCATACATCATCTAATTGCGTACGAATAAGGCATTAGGGACTTTATTATTGCTAAGACTCATACTTGACTTTCAGCATGTACTGTTTTGTTGCTAAGTAAGTATAGGGCCACGTAAAAGGATATATTCTGATTCTGATTTCTGATTCTGATCTGATATAAGACAATAAAACTGCTTCTACAATGTTAAATGTACTGGTTGCCCAGACAAAAATAATAACATCACGCAGCATCTGTTAGCGTGTCTAATGACCGATGAAGTTTTACCTGATCGATAATAAAACTGAAAAATGTTATGGTGAACAAAGTAACTGGTAGAACATAGCATAAAGGGGGGAAGCAGGGTAGCGCTGTAGCTAGCTGTGCTCAGACTATCAAGGATTGTTTTCTACACTCAGCTACTTTAGATCACCAATGAAATGTTAAATAATAGCAAATATAGGTAATCATATGTTGATAATCCAAAAAAGCATTGGACCTTATGAAACGGGTGCAATACAGTTTGTCCGAGTGAAGTTGCCATATGTTGATGTCATAAGAAGGGGCGGGACCCCGAGCAGATCTGGCACCTACACCAGCTTTAGGTTTCTTTATGTTTCTGTCTGCCATGGTCCATCTGGTTAATTAGTATTCCCTCCTCCACCTGCCCTCTTTCCCTTAGCTGTAACTCACTGCTTTCAATAGGGGGTTTTCAGGTGACGTTACGCTCACGTGACTACTCAGTGCGTCCGCCATATTGGGTGGCAGCCTTAGGCAATATTGACAGTGAAAAATGGTGAAATTGTGTGTAATTGTTGGTTGCACGGCCCATGGAGGTGGAGATCAACGCTCTTTCTATCGCATACCAGCCGTAATCGTGAAATAATGTGAAAAAACAAAACAGCTATCTGAACAACGCCGTCACCTATGGCTGACACGGATATCCAGGTCCGATTTGGACTGTGTTAAGCTGGAATACGCCAGAGTCTGCAGTGCTCACTTTGTCACAGGTAATTAACTGTCAAGCATTTAAAACATGTAAGAATATATTAATAATAGGGCTTGGGCGTCATGACGTATTACTTTCCGTGGCCGCAATGTTGACTGCCGCCGCTACTCAGACTACTGCCTATGACTACCGCGTACTGGACTCCCTCTCTCAGCCGTGTTTTAATTTGATTAATTTCACCTTAACTTGATTTCAACCAGCGGGAAAAGGCTCAAATATGTGAGAAACCCGGAGGGTTTAGGGAGGTTTGGCAGTTAACGTTACTAACCAAACCTTGTAAACACATAGCAGCTAGTTAAAAGTACATTATATGCCTGAGTGGCTGTTAGCACTAACGGTTAGCACTGTTTGCTGGCTTTATGAGCTGCAGCTCCTGAACTCATCCATTCGTAAACTGCACATGAGACTCCAAGGACTTGTAGCTTTGGAACTGTTCGCGCACCGCCGGGCCGTTAGCCACCTAGCATAGCGAGCCCTGCATCGGATTGTTTACATTTTTACCATCTTATTAAAACTCACCCGTCCACGTATGATGGCGATTTCCCTCATGTACATTACTTCGACATCTCGTACCCAACCAGATGTGAACTGGTTGTGAGCCTCTAGACCCTTGTACGCTCTCATTTCCTCAAGAGTGTGCAGAGGATTTTCACTGAACACCAGGTAATGAACTATGTAGCCATGCTCTACATTTGGCCAATCATCTGGATTAGTGCTAAACAAGGCACCGTGGAGGGCATAGGGGTCCATATGGTCGATCACGGAACATTTCCTCAGATATGTTCCATGATCTGGTGGCTCTAACGTGCTGGTGTACTTATCCATTCGTGACATGATATATATGATATACGATAATATGCCACCCAAGATGGCGGACCGGTAGCTGGCCAGTGACGTCACTGAAAACCCCCTATTAGCTCTTTTTGTTTTCGTGCCCTTACTCATACCCTCTCTCAGTATCGATGAATAAATGAATGAATGAAAAGGAATTTTTTAAAGACAATTTTTTTGACAAACAACAATAAATTAATCAACCAAATACACACAAAAGAGACTAGTTAAAATCAACTAAACCAAACACCCATTTTTAAACTAAATTCACCAAAAAATAAATAGAAACAAAACCCTCCACCAAATAAACCTGTTGGTATATTCAGTCAGAAAAATGACAACGATTAATGGAAATTTTCTGAAAATATCATATCTCTTCTCCCCCTAATCATACTTAAATTAACTTAAAGTTGAGTAACCTTCCTGTTAACTGTTAAACTTGTTTTTTTGTCCAATACTCACTATTTTTTTTACTTAGTACTGGATTCCTCTGTTTGCCCATCTGCTCCATTTCATCACCCTGTTCTGTTTTCTGTGTCCTCTTTTGACCATAATTTTTCTTATTATTAATTATATAAATTCCTTTACTCTCAAACCAGCAGTAATACTCGCAGCAATTTATGGACATGTGTGATTGTCTACAACTTTTCCACCTTAGGAATAACCACACCTTCCTCTTAAAGGAATAGTACACCCAAAACATGATTAGCCTTCATTTTCTACTCACCCCCATGCTGAACAACACTCTGGAGTACTTTTTTGATATCTCAAATGCATCTGGAGATCTGGGAGGCTTCTTGCTGTCTGCTGACATTCAAATAATGGAGGTCTACGGTGCCCGAGACAGAAAGGTCCATAAAAGTCCACAAAAAACGTGTCAATATTCCTCCATACTGCTCGTCCAATGTATTCCAAGTGTCCTGAGTGGGTAGCATCCAGAATTTACTCGAAACGAAGTCATTTAGAATGTTTTTAGAGCATAAACAGTAGTGTATAGGATTTCCTAAAAGCGCGTTCACGAGTCTACGGAAACCGCGGCAGACCAAATCAGATGAAAGTGCGAATTCAGCTCGGCAAAGAACTCATGCTCTTCCTCAACACTGAAGTCCTCAGACATTTTTCTTTCGTTGTTTCTTTCTTTGCACAGGTAAACAGCACATTTCTTCTTCTACGCTTGCATTATCGGCAGAGCAGAAGCTGAATGCGCACTTTCATCTGGTTTGGTCTGCCGCGGTTTTCGTAGACTCGTGAACGCGCTTTTAGGAAATCCTATACACTACTGTTTATGCTCTAAAAACATTCTAAATGACTTCGTTTCGAGTAAATTCTGGATGCTACCCACTCAGGACACTTGGAATACATTGGACGAGCAGTATGGAGGAATATTGACACGTTTTTTGTGGACTTTTATGGACCTTTCTGCCTCGGGCGCCATAGACCTCCATTATTTGAATGTCAGCAGACAGCAAGAAGCCTCCCAGATCTCCAGATGCATTTGAGATATCAAAAAGGACTCCAGAGTGTTGTTCAGCATGGGGGTGAGTAGAAAATGAAGGCTAATCATGTTTTGGGTGTACTATTCCTTTAAGGAATTGTTCTGCTGTTTCCGTTTTTTGTTTGCAGTTGGAGTGAAACTTCCCCTTTGAGAATATAAATGGATTTAATTCCAAACAAGGCACAGACTGATGCACATTTACATAAACAGAGAAATATTTACAGTTTACATTCGACTGAAGTTGTTTCCATCTGGTTTCTTGTGGTGTTTCGGTGTTGCATGAGGCTGAATGTGACTCAGCTTCATTGTTCACTTTAAATGTAAATACAATTTACAATTCAATTCAGTTTATTTCTATAGCGCCAATTCACAACACACGTCATCTCAAGGCACCAGATCATCCAGTCAGATTGATTCAAAGTTTTCTGTCTATGGAAAACCATTTAATAGCAACGAGTCCTTGACTCGAAGGCAATCCCTCACACTAAGCATGCTTGTAGCGACAGTGGAGAGGACAAATATAAACAAAGGTGTTGATGGCAGCAGCACAGCTGATTTTTCTCTCCAGGATGGAGTCACAGCCAAACAGGAACAGACCAGATGAAGCTACTATGAGAAAAAGCAGAGAGAGCAGAACGTTAGAGATTGAACTAACAGATTCTGCAGAGTGGGAGAATAGAGAGAGAATGAAGCAGAATGATGAAAAAGGGGTCCCTATGTCCTCCAGCAGTCTAAGCCTATAGCAGCATAACTATAGAGATAGCTCAGGATAACCTGAGCAACTCTAACTATAAGCTTCATCAAAAAGGAAAGTTTTAAGCCTAGCCTTAAAATTAGACAGGGTGTCTGCCTCACGGACTAACAAGTTACAAATTCAAACTCATGGAAAAACCATCAGGTTCTACATATGGCCTTGGGGCTTTGTAAAATCTGGTAAAATGTAAGAACAGTAGTACTAAGAGGACCCTTGTGATACCTGCAAGCCTCTAGCCAATCAGATAAAAGTTTCATCCATCCCACCTTAGCTCCAGACCTCTGCTCTGAATACAACGGTGGATGTGACCTCAACGCAGACTGCAACCAGACCGGGCTCGTCGTAAACTGCACTTGTCGTAGTGGTTACCAGGGAGACGGCTTCTCCTGCGAGCCAGTCAACAGGTGAGTTGCCTAATTTATCTATGAGGTCAAAGTGTGTTTCCCTGGAAGTTTTTATCAAGCTTTATTTGTTATCTGCAGATGTGTGGTTGAGCCGAACGGGGGTTGCAGTGACTTCGCCTCCTGCAAGTTCACTGGACCTGTGAGTACAGACTGGATTTGTTTTGGTTTTATTCTGTCTTCAATTATTTTTTTTTATTGCACCAAACAAAACGACGGATTCCAAGAACATGCATGCTGATTGATCATAGTTATCCACAAATGCACAGAAGTTAAGTTCATTATTCAGTTTGTTTAAAACCTTTAAGGAGTTAAAGGAAACCCAGCAGACTGCATCAAGTCACTAACCTGACTCCGCCAGATGGATATGCTCCGCATATCCATCTGGAAACTTTCCGTTGAAGTAATTTTGGGAAGGGGCGAAAATATTGGTTAGCTGATTGGCCTATGTTGGTGATAGACGGGCCAAATAAACCAATCAGATCGACGAAGCATATGACGTACTAACAGAGTGACGACGAAGAGGAGCCAATTGATAAATCAAACTCTTGCTGAAACCAGTCAGGAGAAGAGCAAAAACATCTTTTCCTCTGAGAAAAGCCTCCAGAGCAGTGTTTTGCTCTTCTTTCAGGGAAGAAATACTCTGTAATTCCGATAAAACTTGCTCGATAGCCACGCTAACGCTAGTTTCATCGGCTGAAGCCGCCATGTTCTTTAGAATGAACAGTCGCGCTTCTCGTTGTGTCACACCTCAACCCGCCTCAAAGCCAACCACTGCATGAAAAGTGAGATTTTCGTCCCCGTAAACCCCCGTAAACTCCCGCAGATCTGCCTGATTTTCGTCAGTTTCCGACAATTTGCAACCCGTGCTTGTCCGCGTTTGTCGTGCCACAAATTGTCGGAAACGTACCATGACGTATGTGGAGAGCGATCAGCTGTACTAATGGCCCTAATTAGCATATGAATGCAGCAAACCCGCGCGGCTGGCCAGGTCTGGCTTGAATAACCTTCTCAGTATTGGCTGAAACCACTATTCTCAAACAAATGAAATCGCTCGTGATTGGCAGCAAAACCACACGTGGCCACGCCAGGCTTTAATTTTCTTACTGAGTATTGGACGGAACCACTTCTTTTTAAACAAGTAAAGTCGCTCGTGATTGGTTGGCATATATATATATTTACATATAAATTTACATATATATATTTATTCATATATATATATATATATATATATATATATATATATATATATATATATATATATATATTTATTTATTTATTCATTCATATATTTATTCATTCATATATTTATTATATCTGAAGCTCCTGCGTACCGTCTCAAAATACGTCTTACAGGCAGCTGGAAAACAATTAAATGAGAGTGGTATAAATAAAAAATCAAACGCAAGTCACAGTAACAAGGAAGGAGAAAACATTAAAACAAGTCACTTACACACAATGTCGTCTTTATCAACATCGTGCAAATCTGGACTTGCTGATTATGGCTCCGAGCAAATAGGAGGCCTGTGAAAACAAAATGTAAAAGCTATGATCGGTATCCATTACCTTTTACCGCAGAATGAAAGCATATTCTTTAAATCTTACCCTTGCTCCGGTTCATAGCGCCTGCAATTAGTCTCCGAGTTGTGAAGACGGCGTACTGCTTCCTGTAAATCACAAAAAATACACTTTAATAAAGCTTGTTCTTGCAAGGCTACTATTAGCCGCTATTAGCCGTAGCTCAGGCTAGGCCGCTTTTAGCTTAGCAGGCAGTAATCAAACATATATTTACCGCTAGCATCTCTTCTTTGAGTTCGTCTTGTTCGATGCAGAGTCGCCATCGCGTCCAAGAGGAGTTTTACCCCGAAATCCCCCATTCTCCGCTCCAGACCGCCTGCACAAAGCAAAGCATCCATCCTCCACTGTGGATCCAGCCCCGCCGCTCTGAGTTTCTTGGAGATCGTACAGAGCATGCGCGAGATGAACCAGGGTGTCCGCGGATCAATAAAAATAATTAAAAAATCATTCTTTTTTTTTTTTTTTATCAAGGCCTTAATTGGCACTAAAATTATTTAAATATGTTTATCGAATTATTTATAATTCTTTAATAAAAAATGCTTATAAAAACAATTTCGTCAGATATATTATATCGCTCCGGGCGGAGAAAAAGCTAGAGGATATATATATACGTATATATGTGTGTGTGTGTGTTTACATACATACAGGAGTCATGGAACTGTGCTTACAGCTCCTTCATATTTCATGTACACTATAACTTGTGTACATGGTTCTTGTTGATGGCATTAAAATCATTTCTAATAGCATTTAAATAGCATTAAATTAGAGTATCTCATTCCTGTATGAACCCTGTGAGCGCTTAATTTAATATGACATATTAAAAAAATCCCACCATCATCCAGCATATGTTCAGTTTCTGCCCAAATATATATATAGATTTTTGTAGATTTTTGTAACGGGAATAAGGATAATTCAAAACTGCTTTTTTAATGAACTTGTTCACTACTTCCAAACTCAGCATCTCTTTTCATTCCTGTAATAAGAAGTTTCTTTTGAATGGATTTGATTAAAGTTTAAGTCCCTCGGTATAAAATAAATATTTTGATGGAGATGAGAAATCTGCTTCCTCGTTGGTGAATAACCAATAGTTTGGATCCAGTCATTTAAATAAACGGTGTTAGTTTTTTTTTTTTATATATATATAAGAATTGTGCTATAATTTCTAGTCACCGATCTGTTGCTGCTATATTTTAATTTGACGAACCGGAATTTGTCGATGTTCTTTTTCCTGTTTGGTGCGATTGCAATTGCGGATCTTGACCTGGCCGGACCTTATGACCACAGTGTACCAATCTTCTGATGGCCACTTCCAACAGGATAATGCCACATTTTATAAAGTGAATCATCTCAGACTCATTTCTTGAAACTTTTCCACTTAAGTAATTGTGAATTGAGCATATTGACAGACAACATTTTATTTTTTATCTTAAATGCAATTTTTTTTTTTTATAATTACTGCTCTAAATGTATTGCTCTGTCAGCTAAAGATCTGTTTTGGTCTCTATACTTTAATTAAATAAATCAATTCAAGCTAAAATGTAAGAGGCTATACTGAGCCTGATCTCTTTGTATTCTTACCTAGTAAAACCCCCCCTGTAACCCTGGTTTGCATTTGTATAGCTCACAGCATGTTCATTTACATGTTAAAGCCTCCCCTAGAATTCCATGGGGGGGAGGCATGGGGGGAACACTGCCTAAGAGAGTCCACGTCAATTTCTGACAATTTACGGGAGTTTTCGGCGAAGCCTGCAAATTGTCGTAAACTGCCGCTAACCTGAAGTTCCACGACAATCTACAGTGCCGCATATTGACGAAAATCCCACTTTTCATGCAGTGAACGCTGATTGGACGTTCGTTTGGTGAACGGCTCCAAATTTTCTTTAACGGAGAGTCTCCAGACTGATCTGCGAGTGAAACCTTGAAAGCCCGCGAGATCAGGATGGTCTCACGCGGCTATCAAGTCACTGCTTGCAGAGTTCACTCCTCCTGAATGAGCTAGAAGCCTCAGTGGACAGTTGGTGGCCTAGACTGGCACCTTGGGCAGACAGAGAACACACAAAAAAATCAATGATCCAGGAATGCTTTCTATGTGAGAGAAAAGTAAAAGTTTAATACAGTAATAGCTTCTATAGTAGCTTAATCAAGAACAGAAACACAGCTAAGTAGAAAGGCATAAGTAACAGTTAAGTTATCGGATCGTTGACATACGTTAAGTGTAAGTTACTCATAAGTCGTGGCGTAATATATTAAGAATTTATCTCCTTTTTTCTTTTTATTTATTCTCTTTTTGGGGGGCGGGCGGTAAACAGCAGCTAGGTTAATGCGCCCGGTCTGCATCAAAGTAATGGCTTATGATAAAATCTCTTATGAGGGTGCCCTTGAAATTATAACATTGATCATCAGTATTAACGTTTTTGTCCACAAAATATTCTAGAACATATCAATATCATGTTATCAACACACACAGCCATAAGCAATTTTATGTAGGTCGTTTTTTTTAAACAAAAGTTCTAGTTAGATTACAGACAGAAAATAAGAATTAAACACCAAGATAAAAATGAAAGGTGTGTAATCAGACTTTGACATGTTTGAAGCAAACGTCGTCTGTGTGAAAATAACACCATCTTTGATGAATTCATGTAAAATGCATCGATTTATTTAATGACTATAGGAGAGGTGAACATTTCAATCTGAAACAGAAACTTGTTGTGTTTGGATCCTTCAGAATGAGCGGAGGTGTGAGTGCCTCCCAGGGTATGTGGGTAATGGAGTCCAGTGTCTAGAGAAAGTGGAGCCCCCTGTTGACCGTTGCCTGGAAGAGAACGGAGGCTGTGACCCTGTGGCCACCTGCAAGGACCTCCATTACCATGGTAACGCATCACTTTCCTGTTTTGATTTTATATTGGATGTGGGCCACCTTCACCATACCCCATTCCCTGGTATATTTTCATTTTGCTGCTTTTCTACCGGCTCTACCTGGGCTGGTTCTACTTTATACCACTGATGCAGGGCTCGATGTTAACCATCGCCCGATCTCCCGGGGCAAGTACTTTTTATTGTCGGGAGAGTACAAATTTCATTGCATTTGCCCACTGGGTGCAATGATCGCAAAAACAAAATTATTTATCACTAAAAATTACTTTAAAATCACCGACATTCAATAAAAAAAATGACCCAGAAGCGTTGCCGGTGCCATTTTTGTTGTTTTGTACACATTCTCGCGTGATTTGAAAAAGCCGAGTGATTTTCCGCTAGATTACGTCATTTTTTTCCACCTAGCAGTAATATTGATGTAGTTACCAAAACGATAAACAAGCTAGAAAGCGCTATCATATGGCAGTCTTCTGTACAGTGATGCAGGTCATACATTAAAAAATTATATTAAATTACATTATATTTATAGTATTATCTTGTATAAACATACCGTGACTCTAAAATAAAAGTTATTCATTTGTGACATTGATTTCTATCTTGTGATTTATCTTAAGTTTTTAACCTGTCAAGTTTTTTTTAGATTTTTAACATTACAATTAATATTTTTCCAAGCACACAACAGTTTAAAGCAAAGTTTAGTTTGAAAGGAATGTGAGGAAGGATTGAAAAGCATGTTAACACCGTAATGGAGGCTTGAGTTCACTATCTGACGCATGCATAGACACTGCAGGAATCTGGAAACTTTAAAAATACTGCATTACGAAAAACATTTAAAAAACAAACATGTTTCATTGATATATACAAAAATGAATATTAGGAACTATATTTATCAAACATTATACTGGGCAAGTAAAAATTGTTTCTGGGCAAATGAAATGTGAAAGTCAATTACCCAAAGGGCAAGTGGTTAAAATCCTTAACATCAACCCCTGTGATGTATCTGTTACTGCTTTTCTAGTAGTGGCAGTAATGAAAAAAGACAGCAGTGAAAAAGCAGCAATGGAAGTGTTTGAAAACTGGTGAGTGGAGTTTAGAGCCAGGCCGAGTGGAGCCGGTGGAAAAGGGGCACGGAGTTTCCGCCGGTCATTAAATGTTTTTTTTTAAATACATTTTTATGCTTTCATTGGCATTGAAATTCATTATATGTGATTATCGCAGCATTTTTATTATTTAATGAATTTATAAAAACAACTTAATCGATATATTATATCACAATATATTTGTGTGGAACTGCTTCCAGTTGACAGTATGTTAAGCCTAGAGAATGGGAAAATACAAATTTCAACAAAAGTGGCTGGAAAACAAAGAATTTGGGACATGGCTGCAGCCTGTCGACAGTAAGCATTAAAAAACATTAAAGTAGATCTATTCATTAAAGTTGGCTCTTTGTTTAATAGAGGATAGTTGCAACTCGATTAGTCAGTTCCTGAAGCAGTGATTCAGGTCAGATTTTCTGTATGGGTGTGGCCATGGTTCGATGCCCTGCTCGTTCTCATTCACTCAGCTATTCTGTTAAATCTCTGCTGCCACTGATGCAAGAGAACACGGGTGATCTGAAACTTGCACTGTGCTCCTTCGAAGGTGACCTAGATGGTGCAGATTTGATGAAAACCTTTATTTTATTTGAAAACTTTGGCCATGAAAAGGACAAATTAGTATTTCTGGCTTTTTAAACAACATATTTGTAGTAATAGCACTTACTTACAAAGGGGGGGGCTAACCCCCTGTTTATCATCTCCTTAACCAAAGTACTTCATTACTTAAAAAAAGAGTGAGTTTACATTAACGAGTCGTGGCAGTGTTCTATAACACAGCGTACACTGTTCCAGCGGACCCTCAGCTGTCTGCCTGTAGTTCCTGTAACTCATCCATAGGGGGACCAACAATTCATGCGCCATTCAGAAACCAATTCTGAGGGGAAACACCAAATTATCACCATGGTTACCATGGCGTCACATCAGTAGAACTTATTAAATAGAGCTAGGTGTTTTAACAAAAGCTGTTACTATAGTAACACGGCTGTGGCATAATTTTTTTTCTTGTATTTAAGGTTACCATAGCAACTTATCTAAACCAGTGAGCCAAATGCAGTATCCAAGGATATATCTATGATGTACACTGAATCCTCAGCAGCAAGCTTTTGTAACATCCTTGTAACCATGGTGACAGTATATTGATTGATGACCTTGTTAATCATGGATCTCGTTGGAAGCCATTATTACGCACGTTTTCGGTCAGGTGCCGCTCCTTGGAGCAGACAGATTTCAGTGTTTCAAGGTCAGCTTAACCTACCATTGTTCTTCAGCAAACACAGGGGGAGTGTTCCACCTGCGCTCCCCAGAGGGGAAGTACATGATGAACTTCACCCAGGCAACGATGGGCTGCCAGGCTGAGGACGCTACCCTGGCCACGTTTCAACAGCTGGGAGATGCTCAGCAGGTAAACTTAGGGTTCAGGAAGGAGGAGACCTCTGTCCTTCTTTATTTAAGATTGTTTGATACGGTGAATGAAAGGTTCGTATATAGATGCCTTTCGATCGGCCATAGGATCCCATTTGGTTTGGCATGATGACGTTAAATCAACCCACCAGAAAGTTTTAGTCCAACCTCAAAAGGAAATCATTAGGGTTAGTGACATTTCAAGATTAATTAATCCAGTTCATTTATGTAACACATCATCTAAAGACACTTTATAGAGACAGTTTAATCAGATCATACAGTCAGGTTGGTTAAAGGTTTTCTGTCAAAGGAAACCCAGCTGACTGCATAGAGTTTTGATTTTGCAGGATTCACTCCTGCATGAGGAATCCTGGATAAGCTATTAAAAGCTGTTTTTTTTAGAAAAACTGTAAAAATAACCAGAGTGAGAGTTTTTGCTTCAGAACGGCATTATTTCATCAGTAAATTCATATCTACCAGAAAAAGTTTGAAGCTGTGCAGGGAGATAGAGATCGATCTCAGTTTGATCAAACAGGTTTGTTTATAAGCAGCCATGAATCCTGTTATAAATATCTTTGCCTTTCAAAATAAACCTCTAACCTTTGATTGGTCTCTATAAAGGATTTTTCATTTCCTCCCAGATTAATATAACTCTATCTTAGATTAGAGTTTGAGCACAGACAGCACAAAAATTACCACTGGACCCATGATGATGGTATCTCCTTCCTTTGAGATCAGATATTAATGTCTTTCTGCCTCTGTTGTTTCTGTCTGGTCTCTGCAGCTCGGGATGCATCTGTGTGTTGCTGGCTGGATAGAAGGAGGGAGGGTAGGATACCCGATCCGCTTCCCCTCTGTCAAATGTGGAGACAACCACGTGGGCTTAGTTATGTACAAAGACCCGGTGGACCAGAGCAGCAAGTACGACGCCTACTGCTACAGGCTCAGAGGTACCCAGCTACAAGTGCATGATCCACCTTAGATTCTATTCATATACAGAAATAATTCTTATGATGAAATATCAGAGTTACACTCTTTTATCCGCAACCGAAGCAAGTCCATCACACTTTAAAGAACCACTGAAATTTTATTTTTGGTTTGGTTTATTTATTCTTATTTTCCATAAGAAGCAAACTGACAAAGGACATACCTGTTAGGTTTATTCAGTGATGATTATAAAATTAATGTGCTTAGAAAACATTTGTGCGAGGGGATGCTCCACTCCTGTGTCATGATTCAGTCATGAGACCATCCTGCCTTGTCATTCTGATGGAGCATTCTGTCTTCATGAACTGATCAATTGTTCTGTCAGAACAATACTCTGTTTGTAACCATGCGTCATGTTCTGTTAATAAACGCTCTGCGGAGGAGGTCCAGTGGGAGACAGTCTGGGGTTCAACTGTCTCTCCTTTCTGCAGAAATTGTATCCATAAATTTTGTATTTCAGTTCTTCTTAAGCAAAAACCTAAATTTTATGAACTCGACAATAACAATTAAGAATATTGTCAGTTTCTCTATTCATAAGAGTTATCCCTTCCTCTCTCTCCTCCTCCTCCTTCTCCTCCTCTCTCTTCTCCTCATCCTCTTTCTCTGCTTCTGCTGTAATTCTCTTCTTAAAATCAGAACAGATGTCTGTGGACTTTCTCTTCATGTCTGAAAATTGACCAGCCATCCACAATCACCAACTCATCCAGATAGCTACATAACTATGTCAGAAACACACTAAAAGCTGCTTTAACAGTATAATGTTACAGTTCACATATCCCCCTTTTCTTTCTCAAACAAATTATTTGACTTATTTACTTACTGTTAGTTTGATATGCTTTCTCATCGTTAAAGCGTGCGCACGGGCTGACCTGTTGTTCTCCGAGCGCACAAGCGCGGTGTGAGTATCTGATCTGTACCTAAAGCGCCATCTGTACCGGTAGCTCATTTGCGCATGTGCAAGAAAATATCGGGTAGGGAGGGGGAGAGCAGGAGGACTACAGTGTGCGAGAAGGACAGGGAGAGCGGCTGCTTTGCTGGGTGGATAATGGAGTGAAACGCTAAACCGATGCTACTACAATTTACACTGGCCAGTAGGGGGGCCAGTGGGGTGGCTAGGGCATAGGCCAGGGTGGCCGTGGCCACCCTCGGCCACGCGCTGGTGGCACCCTTGGTCACACCCCTTTTCACTAATCAAGTCAGCTGTTTTAACAGCTACACAGTGAAATGCAAGGTTACATGATTCATTTAATGAGATGTTTTCGCTGATCACAGAACATCAAGGAGAATACAATAGACATTTTTTTCCACATCAAAACAGTAAACAGGGAAGCAAAAGGCAAATCAACATTGCAGCCCAGGTTTTCATGATAGATACTACATAAACGAAAGGAGGGCTAAAATGAAGCATGTTTTTATGACGTATGTAATATGGCTGTGCATCAAAATTTAAACCCAACAATCATCTGGATCCTATTTATCAAATTCAAATGAGTTTATCACAGCACTTCATCTCAAGGCACTTTACAGAGAAAAATCAGCCAGATCATACAGTCAGATTGCCAAACTAGCTAACGGTAATTCTCATTCTCATCTCAGCTTCCAATTATAATTTCAATCTGTTAAATATTAGCAGTTTGGTGCAAACCTTTAATATGTTGTTTTAAACAAACTTTGCTACAGGCAATCAAAAATAACCTTCTCAACTAACAACCTAACCCTTACTTATGGTGGAACTTCAGGACAGAATTTATTAAATATTTTTGGGAAGCAGACAGATTATTCATACCACAGGGGGAATCAGTTCTGGTAGATGATTTTGTGGATTGTTTCAATGCAGGATTAGATTGATAATTAATTTTTTTTTTTGCTCTAAACAGCAGCATGCTAATGTCAGGGGTTCCCTTTACCTCCAGGCAGTATTTGGCTTCCACTTGCTTCCTGCTTAAACCCTCAGCTCAGCAGCTGGGGCTCCATCACCATTCAGTCTCTGCAGGATCAGCTTGAAACTTCAGGCAGATTTTGTTGACCTTTGGGAAAGAAAGCAGCTGCCTCTCCTCTTTCTGCCCTCTTTTTCTTTCTTCTCCTTCATTTAATGCCCTGATTTATACTTTTAGGGGAGCATGATGTGTAGCTCCCAGGTCCAAGGTTAATCTGGGCTCACTGACATTACACTTGTCACCAGTTTTTCTCGGACACACTAAACCATTTTTTTGCTGCCAAGTGGCGGCTTCCAGAAGGGGTTGGATGGACGTTGACATAAAGTCTATTCTCTCAGTTGATGTTAATATATAACTTAAATAAATTATGACATCAGGTAATCGGAGGTAGCCTCGTGAGACCATCCTGATCTCGCGAGCTTTCAAGGTTTCACTCGCTAATCAGTCTGGAGACTCTCCGTTAAAGAAAATTTGGAGCCGTTCACCAAAGAACGTCCAATCAGCGTAGGCTTTGAGGCGGGTTGAGGTGTGACGCAACGAGAAGTGCGACAGTTCAGTCTAAAGAACATGGCGGCTTCAGCCGATGAAACTAGCGTTAGCGTGGCTATCGAGCAAGTTTTATCGGAATTACAGAGTATTTCTTCACTGAAAGAAGAGCAAAACACTGCTCTGGAGGCTTTTCTCAGAGGAAAAGATTTTTTTGCTCTTCTCCCGACTGGTTTCGGCAAGAGTTTGATCTATCAATTGGCTCCTCTTCATTGTCGCTCTGTTAGTACGTCATATGCTTCGTTGATCTGATTGGTTTATTTGGCCCGTCTAAATCAGCTAAATCAGCTTAAATCAGAGGGCCCAAATCATTTAAAATTACAACATGAAAAAAAAAATAGGGTTTTCATGGAAACCCTCTTCCTACTTGGGCCCTGGGCAGTCAGGTCAACTTTCCCCCACTACTACGATTGGGTATTCTGTGCAGAAGGCTGGGAACAGCAGCCCAGTTTAAGGAACCTCAGCTAATCAGGCTGCTGGTTGTCCCCATTATCCGCTACAGACACTTGTCTTTGGCACCACTGAGCAAAGATAGGTTATAAAAAGACATTGAAAAGACGACATGACTTATGTCCAAACAACGTCTACATTGGGTTGAAAGGTGAAAAGCCATAATTTTCCGATCGTCGAAAAAAACTTTGAACATTGGGCTTTCAACGTCTATTATTGGACTAAAGTGTATCAAAATCAGACCAACCAAACACAGCCCAATTTTTAGCAACTAATTCTGGACTAAATCAAGACTATGACTGATGGACGTCTGGTGTTTTAGGGGGTGCTCTCCTTTGCTCCATTGTTCCCTTGTCTTCCAGCTCGGGTATTGAGCAGTTTTGGGCTCTTTTCCATCTGATTAAATGCTCCATTAGCATGTTTTGTGGATCCTCTCACCCATATGAGCAAAAGTTGTTTTCCTCAGCCACTCCCTGTGGTTTTCACCTACAGGGTGTTTAGTCTACGCTTTGCTCGCTATGCAAAGTTCCTTTTTACAAAACAGCATCTGTTGTTGGCCTCCCTTCTTCCTCTTCTCTAACTGCTGCTAACACGATGTTGAAACTGAGTACATTCAATGTTTAAATCCTCATATTCTGGAGGCAACTAGACTTGTCGCATTATTTTTCTTAAAATATTACGACACCTATCAAGGATCTATATTTTCCAGTTCTGGCGTCCCGCATGAGACCAATCTGTTGGAGCGCTGATGTTTTTTTTATCACCATTGCGACACATTCCAAGGCAAATACCAATAAATGACTTGCACAGGTCTTCCACCTTTGTTTGCCTGGGTCTTTTCAGTCTGTTTTTATGTTTTTTGTGTTTTGCTATTTGACTCATGATGAGTTTGCCTGTGTGATTCCTTTGGAATAAGGTCCAGGAAAGAGTTCTAGATGCTTGTGAGTTGAAACCTCAACCTAATATGGACTCAGAACAGAGGACCCACAATTGAGGCAAGACCGACAGTGGAATAACTTACAATATTTATTTAGATTAAGGGGCTTTGGATACGCGGAATCAGTGGCTTGGGCCTCTATAACAGGAATGTCTATAAGAGAGAACCACAGGTTAGTGCCACAAGAATCTGATGGAGATTGATTATGAACACGCGAGTCACTAACCTGGTTTGACAGTTCAGTCCGTGCCCAGAGAACAAGGATGATGCCCGGCGGTCGGCTGACAAGACACAGCAAATGCTGTCAGGAAGCTCCAGACACGGAAGCCTAGAAGGCTGCAGAGATAATACACAGGGTGAAGTCAAGAGGCAGATACAGGTTCAGTCCACAGAAGAACCCACTGAGAGTCTGAATACAGGCCAAGCAAACAGATCAGACAGGGGCAGGCAGGCTCAAAAGTGCAAATACAGAAACATGTCAGGAACGGGCAATCAGAACACTATAGAAAATGCTAGAGAACTCTCAAAACCAAACACTCAAGAATAATGTGGTATCGAGTAGTGGAAATGGGCAGCATAAATAGGAGCAGGAACAGGTGGAACAGATGAGCAGTGATGAGAAAACAGGGTAGAGCTGGTGAATGAAATGAGCAATCAAGTGCAACAATCATGACAAACGCTCCCCATTTAGTGATTGTCCCCAGTTTAGGTCTGTTTTAGTTTTATTTCATTCCTTTTTTGCTGTGCATGAACTCTATGTGTTACTTAGGGCTCACCTGGTAATAGCACTGATGCATGCTTGTGCAAACAGCTGTTCCCATGATGGGCCTCTGGGGTGTGTAAACGTTGTCCTGTGCAATAATTAGTTTATTAGAGACAGACTTAGACAGAGTTAGACAGATTTTATTTTGTCATTTTTTTATACACAAGTGTATACAAAAAGAGATTTAATTCAGTACAGCTCTCTAGACTTTTTCATTTTTTTAAAGTGGAAAAAAGATCTATATTAGTTATTTTGGACAGAAAAAAGTTATTACATGCATATATTGCGCAAAAATGTATTATTGATGCAGATGTTCAGTTTTTTTGTTGTTTTTGAAGTGTGAGGTACAACGTCATTAGAGGATATAGGATTGTGCATATCTTAGAATGGTCTTTTTAATTGGTTTGCCCGCTGTCATTAGCTGTCCTTTCAGGGTGTTAATAAGGCCTGTTTTTGCTCTGATGGACATTTTTAGATGAATATATCGGAGGAACGCCTTTTTGTCAGGATCTGTTAAAATGTTGATTGTTCCGATCGAGATGTGGTGGAGGTGTCTGATGCCTTTTTGCTTCTATTTAACGCCAGGGAAGGCTCATTTATTTGCAGTAACGTCAGCTTTCTATCATACAAGTCTTTGAGCTGTCAGTTAGTATGTGGTATTTTTCTTTTTATTGATCTTTCCCTAAGCTATGAGAAGTCATACTATTTCAAGGTTTCAAAGCAGCCAAGATGTGTGATTGTCTTGCTAATCAAAATTAGATCTTTAATTAAAGTTTCCTTGCAATCAGATTGTAGGATGTTTTGCCATGGATGAAGGCGATGGGTTGAGTAGATCAGTTTAATTATGTAATTGGTTGGCATAGAAGTAATGATGGAAATTTGGTGTTTAGATTTTTTATCATTCTAAATCTAAATCTCAACTTTGCACCGCTGCCACTCTTGCAGCAGTGAAAAAGATCTATATTAGTTATTTTGGACAGAAAAAAGTTATTACATGCATATATTGCGCAAAAATGTATTATTGATGCAGATGTTCAGTTTTTTTGCTTCTCACTGCCACTCTTGCAGCAGTGAGAAGCAAACATGAGGCAGATTCAGCTAAAAATTTCATGCCCAAAAGCTGTCCATGATGCGCAAGTGCAGCGTGAGATTAGATAAAGTGGGTTTTTTTTAAACTGCTGACTTTGTTGCAGAAAACTAAATGGCCAAAGCAAAATTTTACATATAGACGGCTTTTCCAACCACGCCCAAGTAGGGACCCCACAGGGCCAGGAGGACCAGGCCCGGCAGTCACCAGGAAGGAGACGGTGCCCATTGAAGTACCCAAACCCGCACCTAGAGAACCGTCAGCGCACCAGACAACAGGGTTGGGAATTTATACGATTTTCACGATTCTGATTCCCTTATTGATTCTGTGAAACGATTCGATTCCTTATCGATTCTGTGAAACAATGACCTTGGTGAGTGCACGGTGACATTCCTCTACCTTCGCCTGGGACATTCTATTTCCGCCTGCCTCGGCGACTAGAAGGCAGTGAACGGGAGCTGCCAGCCTCTTTGCCAGCCAGGCTACCCGTCTCCTCACAGTCATCTTAATCTAATGGAGAAGGCATGTTTAATGAAAAAGCATTACTGTACAATTTCGAGAAATAAACTCATCTCCCCCTGATTTAAATAATAAGCGTCACCTTTCTCTCACTCCCTGAACTGTGGAGCAACTTCGTAACACGTTTAATAACCCGAAGGAGAGGTAGGAAACAGGTGTATTTCCAGAAATGGCATATGATTTACTAGGAACTATGGAAGCTCATTGGTAGAATTCCCTTATGACAGAAAGAAGGCCACGATTCACACCATTTTATCATCCGTTGGGGGGAAACATTTAATTACAAACCGAATTCATACAGCTGTCTTAAAACACTTCATACATTCAGCACTGTATTGTCACAACTCTGTTATCCCCCAACCTTCAGTTCATTCTAGGCGGCATTTATAGTTTCCACATTGCATTACGTAACTGCACATGCACAGGAATATCATGTCGAAAGCTTACTGGAATTCACGTGGGCTGGTCTGTGTCAAAGTCACTCCGACCCTCAAGGAATGTTTATACAGATGTTCTCTGTTTTGCCAAACCTCCTCATACATCATCTGATTATGTACGAATAAGGCATAACGGACTTTATTATTGCTAAGACTCATACTTGACCTTCAGCATGTTTTGTTGCTAAGTAATTATAGGGCCACGTGTAAGGATATATTCTGATTCTGATTTCTGATTCTGATCTGATATAAGACAATAAAACTGCTTCTACAGAACCACATTAAGCACAGCCAGTGATATAAAACTAGCTACTTACCAGCAGAGTCGCCTTTCATGCTGGTGTAACTTTAGCTTCTGTCCGGAAGCATCAAAAACACGGCATTCGTTAAAATGAATGCATTGTTGTGTGCGCAGGTGTTTCTGCATGTTGGATGCATTTCCTCCGCGGATCTAATTGCCACTTTGCAATGATTGCCAAGCGCCTTCTTGCCATCTTTCTCTTCCTTAAAATGAAGCCAAACTTTCGATCGCTTTACCCGACGGGACGCCATTTTTTGTGATTTGCTTTTCTAGACTTACACCTGGTCACGTCGTACTTGATCACTTAATGCCATGTGTGTAACTTGCATAAAAAACGTGACATAAGTCGTGCTGCTAAGCGCTAGGCTCTGGTGCTGCCTGGAACTTAAGAGAATCGTTAAGCGAGCTGCCAACAATGCCATGGAATTGGAACACATGGAACCGGTTCTGAAAAGCAACTGGTTTTCGGTTTCCATCCCTACAGGGACCAAAAGAAAAGGGGTACAGGACAGGAAATGCTCATACTTGGGCCTAAGATGTTCAGTGGCCGGGGAGGAAAACACTCAACCTGACAAGTAGACAAACAATTTTACATTCACCCAGTCACATTGACACAATCCCACCCTTACATCCATATGGACATACAAGTACACACCTGAGATGCACAAAGAGACAGAGACTAGACATATTCTTACAGTTTTCATAAAAACACTATCTGACAATTCCCCTAGGGGGAGCAGACCCACAGACCCTGGAGGAAATCTCCAGACCTCCCTGTGCAAGACGGGGGCAGCGAAAAATAAATAATTACATAAAAAACATACAAATTATATAAACAAATAATAAAAATTTTTGGTGGGCATTGATAATTTTTTTTCAATCTAGATTATAATCTAGATTAAGTTTGCTCTTTTGAATTCTACCAAAGGCATCCATGATACATGTGTGCTACCTCCAGAATTTAAAAGAAAAGGTTTATGTCATGATGGGTTCACTGAAGGCGACCCAGTTATGCAGAACACCACTGACGGACACAAGGATGAAGAGTTCAACAGTTTATTAAAGCACAAACACACAGAATGTACTGGTTCTGGTTCGGGGCCTGGATACTGGTTCACCGGAGTCTGCGTGAGAGACAGCACAGTTAGCGGTTTGCTGGCAGGGTTTTACTTCCAGAAGTTCACTGATTGTACCTTGAGGGTTCTTGAGGTTAACTTTGGGAGAGTCACTGTTGGTTCTGGAGAAGGGTTCATCAGCAGAGTCCGCTAGCTGCTTCAGCGTCTCACGTCTTGTTAGAACAGACCTTGGCTTGGAAGTCCCAGCTCAGTCCTGAGCTGCTTGAGGTTTCTCAGAGGGATCTTCAGGGTTTGGCTCAGAGGGTCGGCTCGGCAGGTTAGCTCTTCCAGAGTTTTCTCAGAGGAGGCACAGGTTTCCTGGAAGACAGAGATAATAGTTAGAATCCAGACTGGATTCAAGGTCATGGAGATACTCAGAGGATCTACGCTTTAGCGCTGACCAACTGGAACAACACTGCGGCGTTGAGGCGAGGTCTGAAGACTGCTTAAGTAGTGGATCCTCTGATGATCTTGACGAGCTGCAGCTGTGTAGGGAGCTCCCTCAGAGGATCCACGGCGGACTCTGCTGGAGAAAGATGGGATTTCTCCAGCTCCCAACAGTTTACTTTTTTATTTTTGCAAAATCACACGTAGTTTCGTCTTCTTACTTAAGATTTTGACAAAGTCATACCTTTTTTTTGCTCATTTGTTACTGTGTTTGTGCTGCGCACACTTTGACAATATAGTGTCTCCAAAAATCTGACACACGTCACCTCAATCAACTTCTCATCTTTCGCTGCTTTCTCCACGGCGTGCTGGTCATGTATTCTCCTCATGATAGTTCGCCTCGCAGGTAGCGTCTAAGAAGCGTCACCTGTGGCCACCTGGAGAACGAGCTTGAGCAGTTTGTGGCTATCTACTGAGCGAGGAGATTGGTTAGCTTGGCTGATAGAGCTGTGCCTATATCTGCATCCATGTCAATACTTCAGTTTTTCCAGAGAAACGATAAAAGGTGAATCATCACTTTGACACACATTGACTGATATCAATCAACCAGAACGGCTCAGAGTCACAGAAACATTCATAATTTTAAAACTGAAGGTAAAAAGGTGGTTATGAATAAACTAAAAGGTCCATTAAGGACATTTGAAGGGATTTGGATAAAGCAAAAGATTTGTATTCATGAATATCAGATAAAGGAACCTTTTAAAGTATCTGAATTAATTGATTCATTAATCATAGCCCTGCGATGCAGCTCATGATAATGGAAATGCTCTCTGCTGATTCTGATGTTTCTGTGCAGACGTGTCCTGTTCATGTCCTGAGGGTTATGTTGGAAACGGTGACTTCTGCAACGGCGTCCTGACCAGTGTTCTGGCTACAAACAGCAACTTCTCCATTTTCTACAAGGTGAGTTTATAAAACCATCACAGGATCAGGAGCTGTAATCTGATCAGGACTCATTCTGAAGTATTTTGCTGCAGCTTTGCTCTGAAAGATCAGTGTAACCTTTGGTTCTTTGGGGTTCCTAGTGTTTTGTTGACATTTTTTGCAAAACTTTCTAAAATTTAGGACAATCTGTTGTTCATTTATGTTTGTTTTTTCTTTTTTCTTTGTGTGGAATTAATTACTGAATGTGATTTTATTAAATATACCTTTTAGTGTAAAAGATAAATAAAACTTAATAGATAAACACAAAGATTTTTCTCATGAAAAACTGCCAGGTCATGTTAGGACTTGTTGTGCGTCTCCCAGGCAGTGACTTTAGCGTGTTTATAGTTGCCTTTGGACCAATCTGTGCTAGTTTTTGAGGAACAATTTTTCTCTTTCAAGCAACAAAAAATTTGTAAGCACGATGCAAACATATCTTTTTTTTTTTAATAATTTATAAATCCTGATTCCTGCTGGAGTCTGACACTTTAGGACACCTCTTAACATCCACCTTTGAAGTAATCCTTGCGTCTTTGCATACCCAAATAGAAAATGGGGAAAAAAAATTAATAATAACTGAGGAGCTTTAAGCCCGAATTGCATGTGTGGAACATCATTTGAAAGCAAACACCTTCTGTTTTCTTAACATATAAATTACAAAACTGTGTGACTAAAACACAGCCTGAACTGCATCAGTTCAAACATGATTCAAAGTTGTTGTTGTTTTTAAATAGCAGTAACAAAGACTGTCATGGTTTTGGTTCTGTCCTTCACTTTGCTCCATGTTTCCTAGTTTTATTGGTTTAAATCCTATTTTGTAGTTTCTAGATTTATGTTAGTTCTGGTGTTTTTCTGTTGTTTTCCGCTGTGTGTGTTCCTTTCTTCTTGGCTCCCTGGTTGTCTCCTCTCACACCTGCTCCTTGTCAGCTCGTTAGCCCTGCCTTTGTCTCAGTCAGCTGCATATACTCTCCCTCTGCTCTCACTCCCTGTTGGTTCCTTGTCGCCGCTGTTCTCTGCTAACCTTGTCTCTCCCTGGCTCCTTGTGCGTGTTTTCCCCTGATGTCACCATGGTTCTGGTCTGTGTCACATTTTTAGTTGGATTTTTGGATTTTGCCTCTATTATTTGTGGTTGCATTAAAACTACAAGAAATCACCTCAGCCTCTCTGCCTCTGCATTTGGGTCCTCTAAACCACAACCAAAATGTGACAAAAACACGTTGGGGAAAAAAACACCAAAACATGCTTGAGAATATTCACTCGTGTAAAGTCGGGCAACACTCGGGAGATTTCGGAAATGCAACGGTTGGAACGGCCGCTTCTCCTACGACTTTCAGCTCTGAAACGCTACGCTTTAGACGCAGCTCTACTGTCCTAGATCTACTGTCAGTTTGAGAAATGGAACTTCAATTACTATTACTATTTACAGAAAATGTTAAACTAATAAAGGCTAAACATTTTTGTACATATTTAATGGAAGGAAATGTTTGAATTATTTGTTCATGTAAAGAATTGTAATACACCTAGCGGTGCAACCTGGACACATCTTCAGTGACTCTACCGAGATCACTGGGTGTTTCGGGTCCTAGTCATACACCGCCACTTGGGCGACCCAGCCGGGGGAGAGCAGTTCCCTGACTTGTGTCCAGGTAGCACACTACGCCACGCCTCCCCCCTTCTCAACCAGAGGAAGCCAGAAGCATTTTCAGCTGCTTCAAAGATGTTCTTGGTGGCTCTTCGCCTCTGCAGACCGCAAATCCCTAGGAGTCCAAGGACACGGTGTAGAGATCTGCCTGCAAAGCCCCTGCAGCCCACTTCAATAGGCTTGCAGCGGGCCTTCCAGACATTCCTCCGGCAATCAGCCACGAGTTCTGTATATTTAGCCCTCTCTCTCTCCTGGGCTTCCTCTATTCTGTCCTCCCAAGGAACAGTTAGTTTAAGCAGCACAACCTGCCTGGTGGAGGTTGATGAGAGCCCCATGTCCCGGGGGAGTGTCGTGGCTGCAATGTTATCCGGGAATCGCAACTGCCTCCCCAGATCGACCAAGAGCTGCCAGTCCCTTGCTGTCGTGAGCAGCAAGGGACAAAGGCAATCATGCTCCTGGTTGTAAATGTAGATGTAAAAACATGTAATATTTATACATTGAAAGAAGTAGTCTTTCAAAGTTCCAAAAATGTTCAAAAGTTTCTTAATATAACCTAAAATAATAAATAAAATACCATAAATATTTGAGTTGCTAAGCTCATATGTTTATTTATTGAATATTTTAGAAGCAAAATGGTTTGAATATAAAAAAAATGGTTTATTTAGAAAAGAAAATTATTGCGATTAATTAGTCCCACCACAGACGGACAGATAGATAGATTTGCCCAACTGTAGGCAAATGTCAGACAGAACCACAAAAAATGATCATAGACTAAAGAAAAAAAATCTTGTAAAAGACTTGAGTGGCTTGAACTAAATGTTGTGAACTTGTACAGTTTACTGAGTTAAATTAGCTTACCATAAAGGTTCCAACGTTTGATATGTCAATTATTGTTCATTACTTTGAGATAGAGATCAAATGTTTTTTAAACAACCTGCCAATGTTACGTATCCCTCGCTGCGAAGGGGGGGTTTGATGCATCCTGATGAAGAGTTTCCTGGAGATTCTGGAGAGTATAACTTTTCCCATCTGATCCTGGAGAGTACTGTTCCCTCACTGTCTTCAGATCTTTTCATCTCAGTCTGAGGTCTTGGTTCTATTCCAGGTCGTATGTTGTTCTGTGTGGGACCATATAAGACTTTCCTTCCTGTTTCATTCTTTATAACTTAAGCTTTTTAGACTTTTCACTCTGCTAATTACTCAAAATGTGTCGTATTTTTACAATAGAATGGGGAAAAATAATAATCCAGGTGGAATTTAGAGTTAGAATTTTGTTTTAAAGTAAATAATTTATGCAAAACTCTGAAACATTTATGTAACTCCTTATGATATCGGCCAAACTACTGACAGAAACTAAAACTCCTGCCTGAAAATCAGAAGTGGGTAATTACTAGTTACATTTACTTCAGTAAGTCTAAGAGAATGATTCTATTCAGTTTTCTATCTAAGTTCATTGCATCGACTCATTGACTCATAGGCAATCTCTCATACTAAGCATGCTTGTAGCGACAGTGGAGAGGAAAAACTCCCTTTGAACAGGAAGAAATCTCCAGCAGAACCAGGCTCAGTGTGAGCGGCCATCTGCTGAGGCCGACTGGGGTTCAAGGAGACAGAAGCAGACATAGAAAAAGAAGCATAGATACAAAAGGCAACTGTCAACCAGCTCCACAGGCGGCCTCGTCCAGGAAACACACAGCCAGGCAGACGAGCTCCGAGCCAGCTCCCATGTCATAGGATGAAGAGAGCACATCCAGCCAGTCACAGTCAGAGAAACAGGACTACACTGGAAAACAGGCCAAGCTCCAACATCTAGAAACAAAGGTGTTGCAGCAGAACATCTGATATTTCTCTCAGGATGGAGTCAGGATTGTCTAACATCCACTGTATTAGATCATTATTGTTGGTATTAATACATGTGTGATCCTGGCATCATGGGTTGAACAGAGAAAATTAATCCTCAACAGAAAGAAGCCCTCAGTCTGTTGCTCTGATTCTCTCTTAAAACCAGCAGAACTTCCCTGGAAACTGATTTGTCTCTGATGGTGGCGCTGGTTCATCAGGATCTCACTGCAATGACTGTAGTTCTGGAGATGTTCTGACCCAGTTTACAAGCCGTGCAGATCCTGTTAAATTCAAATTTGCTGTCTAATTTGGGATGCCTAATGACCCGCTGTGAGGCTTTTTTCATAATTAATGGAAGAAGATTTTCAGGAAAACTTTCCTGGCTACTATTAACCAAATATGTTTGGATTTAACTGATCCAAGCAGAGGTTTGATTGAAGAGGGAGGGACATTTTGTACTGCAGAAGTGTGAAAAGTTTCCTTTTTTAATTCTGGTTACATGTTTTTTAGTTGCTGGTGGACTATGGCGGCTCGTCCTCCGAAGGCAGGCAGCTCATCGACATCTTGGCTCACAGGAAGTCTGAACTCACACTGTTTGTTCCCCATAACTCTGGATTTGCTCCGAACCTGGTGAGAAACCTTTGCTATTTAACACTTGTTTTGTATACACATTAAACAGACATGTGATGCTAGCATGTACAGGTGCTGGTCATAAAATTAGAATATCATGAAAAAGTAGATTGATTTCAGTAATTCCATTTAAAAAGTGAAACTTGTATATTATATTCATACATTACATACAAACTCATATATTTCAGATGTTTATTTTGTTTAATTTTGATGATTACAAATGACAACAAATGAAAATCTCAAATTCATCATATCAGAAAATTAGAATATTACTGAAGACCAATAAAAACAAAGGATTTATAGAAATGTTGGCCAACTGAAAAGTATGAACATGAAAAGTATGAGCATGTACAGCACTCAGTATTTAGTTGGGCCTCCTTTGGCCTGTATTACTGCAGCAATGCGGCGTGGCATGGAGTCGATCAGTCTGTGGCACTGCTCAGGTGTTATGATAGCCCAGGTTGCTCTAATAGTGGCTTTTAGCTCTTCTGAATTGTTGGGTCTGGTGTATTGCATCTTCTTCTTCACAATACCCCATAGATTTTCTATGGGGTTAAGGTCAGGAGAGTTTGCTGGCCAATTAAGAACAGGGATACCATGGTCCTTCAACCAGGTACTGGTAGCTTTGGCACTGTGTGCAGGTGCCAAGTCCTGTTGGAAAATGAAATCTGCATCTCCAAAAAGTTGGTCAGCTGCAGGAAGCATGAAGTGCTCTAAAACTTCCTGGTATGTGGCTGCGTTGACCCTGGACCTCAGAAAACACAATGGACCAACACCAGCAGATGACATGGCACCCCAAACCATCACTGACTGTGGAAACTTTACACTGGACTTCAAGCAACGTGGATGAAGTGCCTCTCTTCTTTTCCTCCAGACTCTGGGACCTTGATTTCCAAAGGAAATGCAAAATTTACTTTCATCAGAGAACATGACTTTGGACCACTCACCAGCAGTCCAGTCCTGTTTCTCTTTAGCCCAGGCAAGACGCTTCTGACGCTGTCTGTGGTTCAAGAGTGGCTTGACACAAGGAATGCGACAGCAGAAACCCATGTCTTTCATACGTCTGTGTGTGGTGGTTCTTGAAGCACTCACTCCAGCTGCAGTCCACTCTTTGTGAATCTCCCCCACATTTTTGAATGGGTTTTGTTTCACAATCCTCTCCAGGGTGCGGTTATCTCTCTTGCTTGTACACTTTTTTCGACCACATCTTTTCCTTCCCTTCGCCTCTCTATTAATGTGCTTGGACACTGAGCTCTGTGAACAGCCAGCCTCTTTAGCGATGACCTTTTGTGTCTTGCCCTCCTTGTGCAAGGTGTCGATGGTCGTCTTTTGGACAACTGTCAAGTCAGCAGTCTTCCCCATGATTGTGTAGCCTATAGAACTAGACTGAAAGACCATTTAAAGGCTTTTGCAGGTGGTTTGAGTTAATTAGCTGATTAGAGTGTGGCACCAGGGGCCATCAATTTTGAACCTTTTCACAATATTCTAATTTTCTGATATGATGAATTTGAGATTTTCATTTGTTGTCATTTGTAATCATCAAAATTAAACAAAATAAACATCTGAAATATATGAGTTTGTATGTAATGTATGAATATAATATACAAGTTTCACTTTTTAAATGGAATTACTGAAATCAATCTACTTTTTCATGATATTCTAATTTTATGACCAGCACCTGTAGCTACTGACCTTTAACTCATAAAAGATCAAAGAAAAGGTAGTTTATCTTTTAATTTAATCCTTTTAGAAAGAGAAAACAAGACAGTCTCCACAGCAGTGGTGAAGATGTTGAAGGTTATTTACTAGAATGGATCACAAGCTTCTGCCTCAGTTTTCTGGGATCTCAGTGCTGCAGCATTTAATTTCTCTGCTCCCCAGCCATGGAAACCATTTACTGTACCGTGGGTCACAGTGGCTGCCTATTTCCAGCAGAATATGGGCAAAGACACACAAAGACGTTAAAACCATACACAATACTATGGAAGAGGAATAGGGCCACTGAAAAAACAAAAACAAAAAAAGTTAACTGATTTTTAAATTTTATTTAAAGTCAGAAATCTGAGATTAAAGTCAGAATTCTGAGATTAAAGTCAGAATTCTAGATTAAAGTCAGAATTCTAGATTAAAGTCAGAATTCTAGATTAAAGTCAGAAATCTGAGATTAAAGTCAGAATTCTGAGATTAAAGTCAGAATTCTGAGAAAAAATTCAGAATTCTAGATTAAAGTCAGAATTCTGAGATTAAAGTCAGAATTCTGAGATTAAAGTCAGAATTCTGAGATTAAAGTCAGAATTCTGAGATTAAAGTCAGAATTCTACATTAAAGTCAGAATTCTGAGGAAAAAAGTCAGAATTCTGAGAAAAAAGTCAGAATTCTGAGATTAAAGTCAGAATTCTTAGATTAAAGTCAGAATTCTAAAAAAAGGCAGAATTCTGAGATTAAAGCCAGAATTCTGAGAAAAAAGTCAGAATTCTGAGATTAAAGTCAGAATTCTGAGATTGAAGTCAGAATTCTGAGATTAAAGCCAGAATCCTGAGATTAAAGTCAGAATTCTAAAAAAAGGCAGAATTCTGAGATTAAAGCCAGAATTCTGAGAAAAAAGTCAGAATTCTGAGATTAAAGTCAGAATTCTTAGATTAAAGTCAGAATTCTAGATTAAAGTCAGAACTCTAGATTAAAGTCAGAATTCTGAGATTAAAGTCAGAATTCTAGATTAAAGTCAGAATTCTTAGATTAAAGTCAGAATTCTAAAAAAAGGCAGAATTCTGAGATTAAAGCCAGAATTCTGAGAAAAAAGTCAGAATTCTGAGATTAAAGTCAGAATTCTGAGATTGAAGTTAGAATTCTGACTTTAAAGTCAGAATTCTGAGATTAAAGCCAGAATCCTGAGATTAAAGTCAGAATTCTGACTTTTTTTCCCATACTAAACTGAAATTTTTTTTTTTAAATCAGTTAACTTTTTTTTTTTCCAGTGGCCCTAATCCTCTTCTGTACAATATGCCACCATGCAGCCCAACAATTAAAAATTGAACACAAATGTCCTTCTTTTTATGGTCATTTTTACCTTTGTTTCTTAATAAATTGCTTGATGTCTGAACCAAGTTTCTGAACCAGTTTTTGTTTTGTTTGTGCTTTTAGACTCTTTCGGAAAGAGATCTGGAGTATCACATCTCAACCAATCACAGCAGGCGACCATTTAAGGATCTAAAGCACCAGGAAGTCCTCCAATCCAGGCTTGGGTTCAACCTGACCGTTACCTATGGCAACAACGAGGTCAGCACAGAGTATTAATCAACACTTCTAGACTGGGTCCAAATAAGCTTACTGAAAAACTAATTAACAGGAAGCAGAGAAACTGATAAAAGTCTGAAATCTACAATTAAAGCAGAGGTTCTCTAAAGAAACAAAAGTCAGCAATGATTTAAACAGGAGATCTCTGTAATCAAGGAGAGCTCAACCAGTAGGTGGAGACAGACACATAGGGACGTAAACTGCAGCTAATGAGGACTAGAAATAAGGCTGGTGTAAATATACATGTAACACTGGGGAATTACCCGGATTGGGACCGAGGACGTGGCCCTAAACCAACTAGTAGACCGCTAAAAATAACATCAAGTGGCCTAAGGTCTCCAAATTAAAAGTACATAGGTAGGTCTGGCTTAAAATGAGGAAACAGAATTAGTATACAAACTATATATTTTATTTATGCATTATTTTACAATTAGAAGACAAACTTTATTATTCTATTTTAAAATCCAATAAGGCACAGGAACCCGTGACAAAACAAGAAGCAATCTGAGACTCTAGAAACACAACAAACCACGTTAGTAACACACAAGATAAGACAAGATCAAATAAATTTAGAAAAAAACGTATCTCACGTTGCATTGGTGAGAGCATAATAAGCAACAGCAGCAGTCTGTAACAACCAAAAAACAACAATAAAGTGTCTGCCGACCATAATAAAGCTATAAGGTAAAAGAAAATGATGTACCTTCATCAGCCACAGACAGGGGTATATGCAGATGCTGCAGTGAAAACCCACAACTCTTCCAGCGCCCCGAATATCCAGATCCAAATCCTAGTGTAGCAGCACGGCTCCCAACGCTCATTCAAAAGAATCTACTGGTGCCTATATACGCTAATGAGTCTGTCAATGCTGTAAAGCAGAAGTGAAGGTAGAGAAACGGAGCTTTGATGCGTTCAAGGGCCCGAAACGGGTGGGAATTTACACCCAATAAACCACCCGGTTACATACATATGAAAATATACTGTTAGAAATTAAAGGAGCAAAATCCAGACCCTTTCAGATGATAACTGATTTTAAACTCCAGTATTTCCTGTGATCTTTAGTCACTATGTCATTGAACCCACAGCAGTCAGAATCAGTTTCAGGGTCATTTAATTAAAGGGTGATTGTGGTTGAGTGTATAAATATTGTCTTATAGGCGTGAGGTCTGGGGGGGTTTTCTGCTTGTTGCATCTTTTTCAGAAAGAGCTGCAGGAGCACCGCAGTCACAGGACCTGCTCAAGCATCCCTTAAAGGAACCTGCATTGTGCATTTTTGTTAGCTGTAATTTTCCTTAAAAAGAAACGATCCTAATCACAAAGCGGGGTTGGTGCGTGACAGTCATGTAGTGGTCAGACTTTGGTCAGACTGTCATCATTTCAGAAATGTTGTCTGATGACCTTCAACTTGTAAATATTGAATTCACTGAGAACTAATGCCAATCATTCTTTAATGACATCCCAAGGATTTACCATAGTTGTGTTGTGTACTAACAGACCTAGTAAAGGGTTTTATTTTTATTGTTCGCAAAATACCGAGAGAAAATCTCCTGCATAAAACCTCATGATTGGCTTTAAGGAGGGCAGAGAGAGGACACTTAGTTTAATGAGGAAAAACCTGCTACTGACCAGATTAGCTCTAGGGAGAACGTTACTATGGTAACAGACACAGAGGTTGAGTAAACTGTCTTTAGGCTCTTTCCATTGATGTTGGCGGGTTAACCCGGGTTATTCTAGCATGGGTCAACCAGTAAACAATCACCGTTTGGCTCCCTTCGCGTCGGCAGAGAAAGCTGTGTCTGATCCCCTGCTGGCGAGCTGTATGGCCTCTGTCCTCCGCCGCTGCATGGTTGGTGACGCCATGCCCTCCATTTAGCCTCTTTGTTGTGTCCTCCTTTCCTGATTTAAAGATTCTATTGTCTTTTTCAGGGGGGTGGATGGACAGTTAACAGGCAGACAATTTATGTTTTAGAACATTTCACTCTGCACACTCCTAACTATGAATGGGTCATCCTTTCAAAGCTTTTCTAAATGATCTCCTGATCACTAGACATTTATGAGAGTAGATAAAAGAACTATATATTATAATGAAATGATTCATTAAGGAATGAAAGGATTAAAAAGGCGTAAACACCCACAACCTCCAAGAGTGCAGGTCAGGAGGACACCTGGACTTTCCTTTTCTTCCTTTGACACCTTCTATTTGAGCTGATATACATTTCTCCACCGTGAGATCAATAAAGTCAGTCAACTAATCAATCAAACGTTTGAAAGTTTCTGTTAGATCCAGCTTGGATCTCAGGCTGTCATGTGTCACAGAACTGATTCATTTAAATGCTTTGTCTGTGAGGGGTGAATCAGAAATTCAGCTTTGGGAAACCATTAGAGTTTAATGATAACATTGTGTTAAAAAGAAGACGAGTAGTGAGCTGTTGTAACAGGGTGTTAGAGACAGAAACAGAAGTTTACTGTTCTACCAGCAGTGATGGTGAAATGTAAAGTGCTTGAACCACAGTCAAGTGGACAAAAACGAGAAGAAGATGGTTTGTTTCCCTTTAATTGAATTCTGAACACAGAAGCACTGAAACCAAAATTTAAAATCTTTACTCATCTTAAATGCTCATTTTTAATGTGATGTCTCTTTATAAGCAATTTTATAAGCAGAAAAAGATTTACTCATGTTTTTTAACGGTAAGTTCTGGCGACTCTAATAATGTGCTTATATCCAATTAGAAATACGATCATATTACATATCTCCTGTTCGATGAGTTGTCCATCACATCATCGGCAGCATTTAAGGCCAGAACGCACTGATTGCTTACATCTTTTAAATCTCCGATCTAATTTATTCCATGTCACACTGTGTACAGAATGGCTACAACTAGGCAGAGCTGTGCAGATTCTTTTCCACTTCTGTCACCGTGCTATGAGCAATGAGCATGATCCGGACAGCACCAGACACATCTCAACCGCACTAAACTGGTACTAGTTCATCAGTAGGGCTCGGCGTTGTTCAGTTCTGGATCAGTTCTCAGATAACAAAGAGAGAATGAGCAGACGCCGTCACCTCCTTGCAGTCAGCCTCCGTAATCAGGAAACTCAGACATTCATAAAAATACTAGCTTCCCTAACCTGAGTGAAGTTGGCCCCCCCATCTTCTTCAAATCAGAAAAAATTAGTGTCAAACGTTTGTGCTGGTTTGTGCTGCAAAAACTTTTGTTTGTGCGGCTCATTTTAAAGATATAAAGAAATATTTCTAGAGGTCATCAAAGGTCAACCAGCCCCCCCACCTTCTTCAAATCTGACGAAATGGGTGTCAATTAACTCAGCATCATTTGTGCTGGTTTGGCTTTGAAGATATTAATCAAAATGTAAAGGTCAAAAGGTCAACCAGCCCCCCCCCCCCCCCCCCCCCCCCCACACACCTTCTTCAAATTAGACAAAATTGGTGTCAAACATTTGTGCAGCAAAAACAGATGTTAACTGACCTTTAATGACCTCTACAAAATATTATCATTAAAATGATAGCAGTACAAATAAAAAATTTTGCCATTCAAAAATAGAAAATTTTAAAATAACTTTATATATAAAATATTTAAAAGATATATATAAAAATTTTCAAAATGCATATTTTAAAATATATACATTTTATTTATATTAATAATTGTTTGTGGAAGCCATCAAAGGTCAGTGAACATTTGTTCATTCTGAAACTCTGAATTTCATATAAATTATAAGTTGCTAACCCATGATTATATCATTTTAAACTGTAAAAAAATGGTTGCGGCACAAACGAACATTTTTGCTGCACAAACCAGGAGAAACGGAGCTGAGTTAATTGACTCCCATTTTGCCTCATTTGAATAAGGTGGGGGGGCTGGTTGACATTTGATGACCTCTAGAAACATCTCTTTATATCTTTAAAATGATAGCAGCACAAACGAAATTTTTTGCTGCACAAACGTAACACAAATGTTTGACACTAATTTTGTCTGATTTGAAGAAGGTGGGGGGGCAACTTCACTCAGGTGCTTCACCTCCGTGCCACATGATTTCCAGTGATGATTCTGCTTAGCAGTGAGATGAACCTCAACTCATGTCATTGTTTCCTGCGTCTGGAAGCCCTGATTAGACTATAGTTTGTCGTATCCGCTTCCTAAAGCCGACTGTCAAGTAAATTCACCAAAGGATGCCTTCTTCCCCTGCCTCTCCGCAAACTTCCTGAATGTTACGGGCGCCGCCATGTTGGTTTGCTTGTTTACCTCTCGAGAGCAGTAGTACGGTAGGTCGCCACTAGGATGCGAGGAACCGTGCTAGCGTGGTGTGTAGATGGTCATGAGGATCCGAGCTCTGCACAGATCAGTTTTCAGAGGGTAGTGTACATGGGGCTTAATAGAACTCCTGTACCTGTGGGAAGGGTCTGCTGTGTGACGCATTCCTGGATGAATTTTAATAAGAAAGGTCATTTTAACGAGGTGTGGCGAAGCGCTTAGGACTGAGGCCAAACGACTTTAGCAGTTTGGTAGTTCTAGTGTTAAGAAAACTTAGGGGTTCAGCGGTTTTTGTTCCTTCTCTGTTCTCTCTTGAAAGCAGAGAAGGAACAAAACAGAGCAGTCACTGGAAGGGCAGGAGGAGTAATGTTGAGGAAAGTCATTCAGACCATGATGATTGGGGCATTTGGGGGAGGGGGTGCAATCTGGGTAGTGAATGGTGTTATTGTCATAAAGGAAGGGAAAGAAAAGAGGTAGGTAGGCAAAGATCAGGCAGTAGGAGTACCAAAGGGTAGAGAGCGAGCAGCCGGATGAAGGCTGTGGTCCATCAGAAGCACAGGAGAGGTATGGGTTATAAACACAAACAAAACAATGTTTATATGTCGTTTTTTTTAACTTGATTCCAGCCAGAGAGTAGCAAAAAGGGAATCCCACTCTCACTAATACACTGATAACACCGGGTCCTCACCTGAAGATATTTTTCAACTTGATGAGGAGGAGAGCAAAAGGCTTGGTATAACTTAGAAGGCCTAAGGGCTGGTTATCCTCCTGCAGCAGTGTGTCGCAGTGAGCTTGACACTGACATTTTTGATTTATGCCCAGTATTGAAGCATGGTCTGTGCTACACGATATGGGTTTAGAAACGGACGAGGCGATGAGGAAGTAGGGGCGAGTAATCCGACAACGGTGGGACATGACGGCAAAAAATAGCCGGGATCCAGGTGAAAAAAGGGTCCCAGCGTTCTTGCGCACCTCACTCTTCTAGCAGGTCCAAATTCACGAGTTGTTTTCCGCAATTTCAGTCATAAAACAAAACAAGCTGGCCTCCTGTCTGCGGCACTGTCTGCTGTCAGCTACAATTTGAGAGAGGTGCAACGGAGTGTCAGGGGAGGGGACGTCTTTGTTCACTGCGACACCTACACAGATGACCTAGTTTCGAAGTATAAATCAGCCTTTAACCTAGAAACGCTGATAGTTTTTCGCCACCTCTGACGGCCAATCCTCAAACTATCTATCACATAATAGATCACAGAATGGATGCCCAATCCGAAAAAAAGAGGAAAATCATCTCTACTTTTCCAACTTTTTGCACCGATCCAAACTCAGACCAATCACATAATTGTTCTCAGACACACTGCAAGAAAGTAGGTCCGCCCCGTAGAGTTCAGAACCAGCAGGAAGAACGCCCAGGACGAGTCACCAAGAACAAAAACATTTTGTTTTTGTGGCTATGAGAGCAACAAAAACTTGTCATGGGGTGTGAAGCTGCTTTAACAGGCAGGAACTGGACAGCATCTTGACTTCTCAGAGATATTTTCTGGCACAGAGGTATGACGTAACGATTGTGCCGTTTGTTGAAGCCCACAGGTATTCACTTGTTAAACAATCATGTGTGGGAGCTCAAAACAAATAAAATCTGATGCACACTCAACTCACTGTCCTAACAAACAGTTCCATCTCTGCGTGCGCTCAACAACGGCTGTTCGCTCGACTCTGGCTGTGTCCGAATGTTTGCCCTAATCACTATGTAGGGCCCTATATGCTGGTTAGACACATCTTAGATGAGTGTCCGATTGTCTGGTGCATGAAAAAGTAGTGGACTCGAAATTTCCCACAATGCACCTTGATTAGTAGTGATCATCCATGGTCACTAGACGAACAGATATGTTCCGGATGCTTTGCGAGGACAGCTCTCCTGGCAAAGCATTATGGGATTTGTTGTCACAGTGACTAATAACATAGATGGGGCAGGGACCGTGCAGGGAGGCAGAGTGACGTAACAAACGGAGAGCAAGTAGTGCTCCTCTTTCTGAACGGTCTGTTAACTGAGTTCACTATACAGTCCACTATATAGTCGTCGTACTCGTCGTCTCCCGCTTTATCCGGAACCAGGTCGTGGGAGCAGCAGACTAAGCAGAGACTCCCAGACTTCCCTCTCGACTGACACCTACTCTAGCTCTGTTGGGGGAAGCCCTAGGTGTTCCCAGTCCAGTCGAGAGACATAGTCTCTCCAGCGTGTCCTGGGTCATCCCCTGGGCCTCCTCCCGGTGGGACGTGCCTGGAACACCTCCCGAGGGAGGCGTCCAGGGGACATCCGAAGAAGATGTCCGAGCCACCTCAACTGACTCCTCTCGATGTGGAGGAGAACCGGCTCTACTCTGAGCCTCTCCCGAATGACCGAGCTCCTCACCCTATCTCTAAGGGAGAGCCCAGCCACCCTGCGGAGAAAGCTCATTTCAGTCGCTTGTATCCGGGATCTCGTTCTTTCGGTCAAGATCCAGATTTCATGACCATAGGTGAGGGTAGGAACGTAGACCAAAGGGTAAATTGAGAGCTTTGGCTTTTTGCTCAGCTCTCTCTTCACCACGACAGACCGGTGCAGCGTCCGCATTATTGCAGTAGCCGCACCGATCCGTCTGTCGATCTCCCGCTCCATTCTTCCCTCACTCGTGAACATGACCCCAAGATACTTGAACTCCTCTACTTGAGGCAGGGACTCTCCTCCAACCTGAAGGGGACAAGCCACCTTTTTCCGGTCGAGAACCATGGCCTCGGACTTGGAGGAGCTGATTCTCATCCCGGCCGCTTCACACTCGGCTGCGAACCGCCCCCGCGCATGCTGTAGGTCTTGGCAGGAGGGAGAACTACGTCATCCGCAAAAAGCAGGGACGAGATCCGCTGGTCCCCAAACCAGACCCCCTCCGGTCCTTGGTTGCGCAGAGAAATCATGTCCATAGTCCCCGTTCTAAATAGTGATTGAGGGGTTAGGGGTTAGGGGTTAGGGTAGACGTTCTGACACAGCCTCGATCTCTGCGCTTCACAAAGGAGTGGAAATAAACCACACTATCAGCCAATCCCGCTCTGCTTTTTTTCATCCAGTCAAGGTATTTGTTCCAAATACTGCATCCAACTTAATAAAAAACTACCCTTAAGGAGGATAGGCAGCGTCCCTGGGTGGAAGTTTAAAAAAATAAAAAGGTAAGATTTTGGTTAGATTTAACCTAATATAAGATTAAATAAACTCTTTGATTTTATACCTTTATAATATTAACTGTATACATGTGCTTACTGCCGTTATGCATTAGTATTCACTTCTGAAGCCACTATGATGTAGCATTTGGAACGAATGCTTTGATAGAGTCGAGCGAGTGGAGAAACAGCTGAGCACACAGCTGTTGTTGAGCACACGCAGAGATGGAGCCGAGCGCGAGGACAGTGAGAGCGCATCAGGCAGGTTCTGAGCATGTGCTTGTGATGTTTAACGCTGAATACCGTCTCCCTGCGCACACAGATAGGTGCCTGCATGCTCGCACCAATGGCACAATCTTACACCGTAGAGAGGAAGCGTCTGGTAAGCGGTGTGTCGCCTGCCAAGTCGCTCTGATAGCAAAACATACAGCCAGGTATTGGCAATGTTTTTTACTTTGATAATAAAGCTCATTTTATTTTATCTCTAAAGCCAAAATAGAACAGCTATGATTGAATTTAGAAAAGCAATGGAAGGATGGAGCGACTGAAGGTTGAATATTTTTTATAGTTTGTTGAATATGCTGAGAAAAGAATATAACAATTTGACACATTCATGATAAAATTGGAGGTTTAAGTTTTAGTTTTCATAGCTTTACGACAAAAGGCAGTATATATTTCAGACATCCCAAGTTCCAAAAACTCATTTCAGGGAGATGCTTATCCCCCAACCCCCCGCCCCCCGGGGACAACGGATCCGCACCGTGCCCCATACATACACATTTAAGGCCAGCAACTTCTCAACAACTGTTTATTAACTAACAGTTATTTCTGAAACACTAAACAGAACAGTATTGGTCTTTTATTTTCAATGCTTTCAATCTTGTATCCTTGAACATTGGTTGGGCTTTCTATTTTTCATGAGACTTCAGCATACAGTGCACCTCGCCACGGTGTCATCATTCCTCACCATGGCCTGTTCTAGACAGAGTCCAACGGGGGTCAGTGCCCCTATTATGGTCCCTGTACTGAAGATATAATACTAAAAAGAAATTCTAATGATGATATGAGCTGGAACAGCCATGGTTACTGATAGGTCCTTTGGATCTATTTCATTCTTTTCTTTTCTACAAATTCTGTTTAACTAATTATTCATAAACGATAAGGATAGCTTCAGTGGGATTGAGAGAGGATCCCAGTTTTCATCTGCTAATTGTTTTTTTCACAAAGAAAAAAATGCTTTTTTTATTTCATGCTCTTCTGGGCCCCCATGGAAACACACTGGTCCCCTCCTGGCCCCCTGGTACATTTGGTCTGGATCTGCCTCTGTTCCTCCCCTTCACTAGACATGGATATACTTTAGTATATTCTGCTGCAAAATTAGTGCTATATTTCCGTTTTTTACTCGAGGATTGAACCTCTGCCGTTTCCCAGGATGCACAGCTTTGAGTGGTAACTAAGTGACTGCCAGAGAGTAACCCAGAGAAACTTATTGGACTGATCCAATCAGCTCTCTGATCAACCAGTCGCCTGGAACGCTGGCTGATCAGAGCATCGCTTTGGAGAGATACGCTGGACAGGTTTCACCAGCAACCTCCTCCCCACACCCCGCTCTCTTTTGTCTGCGCAATCGCAGTAGATCTAATCCGCACATGATGCATGAATTATTATATTGCCTGTTCGCTCTCACTGGCATAAAAAAAAAAAACACCACCTCCCATGGTCTAAAATCCGGGATAATTTATCCGACTCGCGGGCATCAATTAACAACTATCTATATCAGGGAAACTCCTGGAACTTCCGGGAGACTTGGGATGTCTGATATTTATATTTATTTTAGTTCATATATCTGTGCTTAAAGCGTAGAATAATGAGGACGTGTCCAACACCGTCCATCTGGATTGTTTTGAACTTCCTGTGGTTTCCTTTCAGAGCTGTAAACTGGTGAACCAGCGGCTGTTGCTGGACTGGGACATTCCTGCCGTGAACGGGATCATTCATGTCCTGGAGGCGCCACTGACAGCCCCCGCCCCCCTGGTGAGTCAAAGACACAATACAGAGATGTTTCCAGGTGTCATCAGAGTTATACAATCATCCAGCTCGTCTCCATCACCTTTTCTCCCAATGTTTACATTTAATCACTGCTGCAAGAAATGGTAATGTCATGAGAGCTGTGCAAAACAATTTTTTGTTTTGTATAAACTCTATGTATACAAGATGACAGTAAAGTATGTCTAAAGCTGGGCATACACTGCGATTTTTTTAAATCGTTGCACGCAGCTACAGCTCACTCTGTACGATGAATCTGCAGGGATTAAAAGTTCACAGCTCACGATGTTTGTTCTCACACTGTGCGACCCGACGCTCTAAAGTGATCTACCTGCTCACACTTTACGTCCAAAACCACGTCGGACTCAGCTCTGCAGTAAGATGGCGCTGCTCTGACTCGTCTATCCAGAAGCCAAACGAGTAGAAGAAGAACGTGAAGCTCTCAAGAGTGAAACGCGCTGCCTTGGCTATTTGTGCAATTTTTTGGTGAAAGCCCTTAAAAGAAAAGGAGACGACGTATTTGGACAAAGACATGGCTGAGCAAACGTGGCTACTACGGTCTGTTAATTTTACAGAAAGAACTCCATGTCATTCCCAACCTCGGCCGCGCGATCTAAAGATTCTCGCAAGACTTGGAAATCGTCTCGAAAAGGGTAAAAAATCGTTCAGTGCAAGCCCGGCTTAAGTCTAAGTCAGTGAGATCAAGGCTTTTCTGATGGGTTGAAGGTGGTTCTGTTCAGGGCTGTGAATCTTTGGGATTCCCACGATTCGATTTAGAATGGATTCTTTGGGTCACAATTCCATTTTTTCCGATTCTTTTAAATCCAAACGATTCGGTTCAGAAACGATTCATTTACGATTCAAAACGACTCTCAGCATCTATTCCAGTCTGCTGGCATGAAAGCAGAGTACATTTATAAAGACTTGATGGGACAGTGATTGGCCTACATGTTATGAATGCTGGCGTACCATAAAGAATAAATGATGAACAGTTTAGTTTGTGCCTTCAAGTCGTTGCCCATAGGAAGACGTTATTTGGATATAACCTAACGGAATATCTTCAGAACGGCTCCAAATGACACAAAACTCATATGGGTGAGTAGAACATGATGGAATAACGGAAAATTAAGGGGCCAATGTAAAAAAAAAAAACAGCGTTCCCCTTTAAGGTCTCTGAATAGGGTGTGTAAAATTGGTTGGGCTGAAAATATTAGCTGTTCTATGAGCTCTAATGCAGCCTGGTTAAAAACCCCAGAATGAAACAACAGGTTTTCTTCCTTTTATGGTATGATCATGAATATTTAGAGGAGCTGTGCTCTGATTGGTTGGTTTATAACGAGCCAAGCTGAGCAAAGACGCATCATAGCAACAAGCACTCACTCACTGAAACATCAGATTGTTGATATTGTGGGGTGAACAGATGTCCTCTTTTTTTCCCGGACATGTCCTGCTTTTAATACCTAAAAAAATGTCCGGGGGAATTTCTAAATCATCTGGGATTTTGGTCGACTACAGTGCAGCACGTTGTCGAAACACATTTGAACCGAGCCGCCAGCTCCGGGGCTGGACCAGGAGCCTCAACACTTCAAGTCATCATGTTAAGACTGGACTCACTTGATGAGCTGACTGGAGTCTGGTGTGCTATTGGTTGGTTGGAAAGAAAACCTGCAGCCACACGGACCTTTCTGGAACCAGTTTGACATCCCTGATCTACAGGTTGAAGTTGGACTGCAGGAAATGAAGCTTCTGTTTGCTGTCTCTGCTTTTGTATTTACTATGAAATAACTCAATGATTTATTTCATGTAAGATACTAGACACAATGATGTGAGAACCATGAGGAATCATCTGCATTGATGCAGAATCATCATCATACCCCTCATGTCCTGAAGTTAACGATCAGCTGCTCCAGCTCCCATCAAACAGGCTGCTGCAGCTCTAACCTGTTTATATCTATATGAAGGCAGAACCTGTGGTTGTATTTTAGATTAAACATTGTATCTGCATTGATGACTTTTCTTTCTCCTGCACTGACCTCAATAAAAAAGATGATTACAGGGTTCTTTTAATCTCGCCACCAGGGGGCACTGGAACAATCCTGCATCCTTGGAGCACAGCCCCCCCACCCCCGATTGGCTGACATTTTGTTTTGTTGCCGGGCGGTTTTATGGCAGAGAGCAGATGGCTGTGCTTAATTTGTTGGAACATTTTGGGGTTTTAGGAAATTAGGATCAATCTGCTGCTTTTCCTAAACAGAACTTTGCTCCATTTTCATGACGAGGAGCCGAGCGATGAAGAGGAGTTCAGTCAGATGGTCTGAGCATGGTTAGCCGAGGGAATCCACATTCTCTAATCGGCAGATGTTAATCTAGAATTGACTGTAGATGCAGCTGAGCTTCAGGGAGCATCAACTGTTGTTTTTATCACCCAGCTGAGGAGCAATGACACGGTTTCTGGAATTTAATTAAACATGGATCCATTGATCCAGTCACACCCAGAAGGTCTTTAATTAATATTTGATTTGAAGTTGGAAAGATGGTTGAGGGTATTTGATATAACACCATCCAACTTATCAAGTGTTCATCATGAACTCTCGGAGCTTTGATGCTTTATTTTACCACCAGCAGCGGTTTCTGTCACTTGAACTGATCTTCAGGCTCTGATCTGCAGGATTTTGGCTTCTTGAAAGGAAAAAGCAGTGAAACAGGCGCTGGATCAGGACGTTACTCAGGTCATAGATAAGACCTGAGCTCTGGTTATTAACTTAGTTGTAAAAGTGTCAAATCCTGATTTCTTATTTCTTTTTTTTTATTATTATTATTATTACAGTGTCCTGTCTGGCAATGTGGAAATAAGAATAATTGTCTTGATGCCAAAAAGAGCCCAACAGATTTTACTTTCACAAGTGTAGCAGTACGGCAATTGCCATACTGCTCCACTTGTTTCATGCATATAAATTGCTCTATTATAATTATGCAGGGAGTTTTACAGTTTATATGGACACTGCAATGTAAATAGAGCAGAAAAAACAGAAGAAAAAAAAGAGAAAAGATGAAAGAAAGAAGAGATAGAAAGGAGACAATGACAAAACATTTTCAGTCTGCTTCATTGCTTCATTTCTTATTTCTTTGCACGTTTATCACACTGTAGTGTTTCAGAAAATTAAATAACTTTTTTTTTTTTTAACATTGTCAGGTCTAAGCACCTAAAACATCATACATACTTACAGGGAAAGAAAGAAGGCACAGAGACAATTAATTTAGTTTTACTCGCGAGGAGAGCAAGAAGGAGACTGCAGAGTTTACAATCCCCACCTCACTCTGCAGTCCCAGCGTTCTGCTCACTATTTATTAGAAATCAGGGGTCCCTTGTTACAACAGCTAAGACTGTTCTAGAGATCAGAAACAACATGAAAAATTCAGACTTGCAGTCTCAGTAAACATCCTATAAATTTCAGGGCTCAGTCAAAGTCCAAGCGGTTGAAGCTGTTCACCAAAGTTCAGCAGGTCGAGTGCTGCCCGTAAATCACCCACAACCTCCCCAAAAGCAAGTTCACAAATCATAGTATACTTCAGAAAAGGTGGCTGTGAAAACATGCACATAGCACACAGCTTTATGCATGATAACACTACACAGATACATTTATATACAATTATTCTAACAAACATTTAACCTTTTATTGGTATTTTTCACTTTTTTATTTATACAGTGTACATGAACATTATACATTAAACTCAATGTAACATAAATCTTTAACTTGGGAGCTTTTCATCTATTTGGCCTTTGTCTCGTCTAGTTTATTATTATTATTTTTTTAATCTTTGTCGCTGTCTTTTGTCTTGAATCTTGTCCATTTCCTCCACTTTTCTTCCATTTGAGTTTGTTGAAGTCTTAGACGATGTGTGAGCTTTTCCATAATGTAGATTTCTTCTATTATTTCAGTCCATTGTTCTTGACATTTCCTCGTGATAGCTTTTTTGCTAGCTATTAACAATATCTTAATCAGATACCTGTCTTTTACCCGTACTTTGATATTGTTCAAATTGCAAAGATAAAGCACCGAACTGTTCATAGGGATATCATATTTCAGTATCTTCTTTACAGTTTCATGTACATTTTTCCAAAATTTAACAATTTTAGGACAGTTCCAGAATATGTGAGAATGATCAGCATTCATTGATCCACAATTCCACCAACACCCCATGTTTTTATCATTAAATCATATTCGATCTTTCCATGTGAACTCCCTCCATATCCGTGAATTGGTGGATGTCTGATGTGTTTTCCACATACACTATATTGCCAAAAGTATTTGCTCACCCATCCAAATTATTGGAATCAGGTGTTCCAATCACTTCCATGGCCACAGGTGTATAAATTCAAGCACCTAGGCATGCAGACTGTTTTTACAAACATTTGTGAAAGAATGGGTCGCTCTCAGGAGCTCAGTGAATTCCAGCGTGGAACTGTGATAGGATGCCACCTGTGCAACAAATCCAGTCGTGAAATTTCCTCGCTCCTAAATATTCCACAGTCAACTGTCAGCTGTATTATAAGAAAATGGAAGTGTTTGGGAACGACAGCAACTCAGCCACGAAGTGGTAGGCCACGTAAACTGACGGAGCGGGGTCAGCGGATGCTGACGCGCATAGTGCGAAGAGGTCGCCAACTTTCTGCAGAGTCAATCACTACAGACCTCCAAACTTCATGTGGCCTTCAGATTAGCTCAAGAACAGTGCGCAGAGAGCTTCATGGAATGGGTTTCCATGGTCGAGCAGCTGCATCCAAGCCATACATCACCAAGTGCAATGCAAAGCGTCGGATGCGGTGGTGTAAAGCACGCCGCCACTGGACTCTAGAGCAGTGGAGACGCGTTCTCTGGAGTGACGAATCGCGCTTCTCCATCTGGCAATCTGATGGACGGGTCTGGGTTTGGCGGTTGCCAGGAGAACGGTACTTGTCTGACTGCATTGTGCCAAGTGTAAAGTTTGTTGGAGGGGGGATTATGGTGTGGGGTTGTTTTTCAGGAGCTGGGCTTGGCCCCTTAGTTCCAGTGAAAGGAACTCTGAATGCTTCAGCATCCCAAGACATTTTGGACAATTCCATGCTCCCAACTTTGTGGGAACAGTTTGGAGCTGGCCCCTTCCTCTTCCAACATGACTGTGCACCAGTGCACAAAGCAAGGTCCATAAAGACATGGATGACAGAGTCTGGTGTGGATGAACTTGACTGGCCTGCACAGAGTCCTGACCTCAACCCGATAGAACACCTTTGGGATGAATTAGAGCGGAGACTGAGAGCCAGGCCTTCTCGTCCAACATCAGTGTGCGACCTCACAAATGCGCTTCTGGAAGAATGGTCAAAAATTCCCATAAACACACTCCTAAACCTTGTGGACAGCCTTCCCAGAAGAGTTGAAGCTGTTCTAGCTGCAAAGGGTGGACCGACGTCATATTGAACCCTATGGATTAGGAACGGGATGTCACTTAAGCTCATATGTGAGTCAAGGCAGGTGAGCAAATACTTTTGGCAATATAGTGTATCTAACCAATCTTCATCTGAAATTGTCATATTAAGCTCTGATTCCCACTTTTCTTTTATGTACTTAGTTGAATGTTTCATCATCAGTTTTTGATATAGAGTAGAAAATTAAATAACTTTAAAGAAAAACTCAAGTAAACACAAAATTCTGGGCTTCTATTGTAAAGGGATAAAAAATCCTGACTTACTTGGCCCTGGGTGAACAAAAACTGTGTTTATTCACACCTCTTTTCTCAATCAATGAATCACTTAAATAGGATCTGCATTAAATGGTGACTTTGACCAAACGATCTTCAAAGTAAGACATCATGCTGAGATTTAAAGGAATCCTGGAAGCAAAGAGGAAGACAGTAGTTTGGGATCTGCCAGTTTGGCAGCTTTGACTCCAGTAAACCGCAGTAAGAGCCAGCAATCGTGTTTCCATCCAAATGTCCCATGAATTTAAGGCAAACCTTTAAATTTTGTACATAAAGAAATGTGATTTAGGTTTGTTTCCGTCACTGGAGCGAATTAACCAGGTGAGGCAAAGTGTAAAACCATCTTAGGATTAGGTAACACTGGGTCGGAGATAAAGAGGTGGTAAACTAGGGCGGATCACAGAGCAGTAAAGGTTTTAGTAAATGTGTGTTGAAATCAGGAAAGTTGTTCTGGTTTTATCATGTCCACTAGTGTTAGTGTTGGTACAGGCCATCCTGTTGTTAGCACACATGAGCTAAACTCCTCCCCCACTCCCTCTTTACACCACTTTCTTGCTTCCTAGCCATTATCTCCCTGCTTAGAGTTGGGCAAATAAGTTATTCGGTTAGCCGGGGGGCGGCCTAGTGCTTAGGGTTGAGTTTGGAATCCAGAGGTTCAAAGTTCGACTGACACTCTGGGTCCCTGAGCGAGACCCCCCACCTGCTCCCTGGGCAGTGTTGTATAGTAACGAAGTAAAAATACTTCATACTGTACTTAAGTATATTTTGGAGTACTTTATACTTTCCAAGAGTATACATTTTTTTGAGAACTTTCACTTTTACTTCACTACATTTACGAACTTAATTGCATACTTTTACTCCGATACATTTTCAATGTTTGGTTTAGTTACTAAGTAAAAAAATAAATAATAAAAGGGGGGGGGGGGGGGTGGAACGCAAGTGTTTTGCGGGTCGGGTCTTGCCTCGGTTCGTTCATCAACACCAATAGGATACGCCTGTTTCACAAAGCCAGTTTAAATTTATCCTACACTCGGTTGTTTATATTATTTTAAGTGAATTTAACCTTCAAAAATTACCAAAATGTAAAAAAATGTCATTCAACTGCACTACTTTTTACTTTTACTTTTCACTACATTACTTGAGTACATCTATTTTTACAGTAATTCTTATACTTAAGTACAAGGCATTTCAGATACTTTAAGACTTTTACTCAAGTAACATTTCAGTCAGTGACTTGGACTTTTTCAAAGTCATATTTTGGAGAGGTACTTATACTTTTACTTGACTCCGAGATTTCAGTACTTTATACAACGCTGTCCCTGGGCGCCGCACAATGGCAGCCCTTTGCTCCCCAAGGGGTTAAATGCAGAGATAAATTTCTCCAATGTGAGATCACTAAAATAAAATCATTATTATTATATTATTTACTTCAACATTAAACATGGTTTAGATCTCACTGCTTGTTTGATTACTGTCTTTCGGCTCTTCTAATGTGAGCGTTTCAAATGGGGATAAAAAAAAAAACTCAATGGAAACAGTTATTATTAACAAACAGAGCAAACAAAGATCAGCAGTGAACCTTCCCTGGAGTGACTGGCCGACCAAAATCACCCTAAAGCCGGGCATACCCTGTACGATTTTTTGCCCCTTTAGGGGCCGATTCTCCAGTCGTGCGAGAATTTTTCAGTCAGTCCAACTTTCAGCCTGATCGTGTGTCCTGCGTCGTGTAGTGTACACAGGGTAACGAGCCTCTCACGACTACCTCCCCATCAGGAATAGTAAGGTCGGGAGAAAATCAAATGTTTTAAATTCAGTCGGCTGTCGTAAGGTGGTCGTGGGCAAATCACTCAAACAAGGATTCTTCTTCTTCCTCTCAGAGGAAAACCCAGAAGCATGGTGGGGGTGCAATGAGTGGAATGGAGTTCTTTCTGTAAAACAGACAGACCGTAGTAGCCACGTTTGCTCAGCCATGTCTTTGTCCAAATACGTCGTCACCTTTTCGTTTTAGGGCTTTCAGCACTAAATTGCACAAATAGCCAAGGCAGCGCATTTCAGTCTAGTGAGCTTCATATTCCTCTTCTACTGGTTTAACTTCCGGATAGACGAGTCCGAGAAGCGGAGCTGAGTCCCACCTGGTTTTTAGACGTACAGTGTGAGCAGGTAGATCGCATCAGTGTCAGGTGGCGCAGTGTGAGAACAAACATCGTGAGCTGTGAACTTTTAAACCCTGCGGTTTCGTCATACAGTTGGAGCTGTAGCTGCAACGATTGGAAAAATTGCACAGTGTCTGCCCGGCTTAAGAGCTCAGCAACAACTGATCACGAAAGAGCCAAGGAAAATAACAGCAGGCTTCCCTTCCTCAACTAAGGTCAGAGTTCATCCCTCCATCATAAGAGAGGAACAATGGCTGCATGGCAAAAATCCACGACTAAAACCAATGATGAAGGAACATCAAGGCTCGACTCAGTTATTCCAGGACCCATCATGTTGATCACCTGGACTTTTGGGAAGATGTTTAGCTGCTTCAGGACTTTGAAGTCTTGCTGTGATAAATAGAAACAAGCTTTCTGTCGTCTACCAATAAATTCTGAGGCAGAGCCTCTGACAATCTGTTCAACCAACTCTGGTTCTGCAGGACAATGATCCAAAACCCACCAGCTCCCACCAGCTGAAAAAACAAATTAAAGACTTTGGAGCCGCCTAGTTAAAGTCCTGACCTGAATCCTACTGAGATGCTGTGACTTGACCTTAAAAACACCATTAATCCTAGGAAATATGGCTAAATTACAAAGATTCTGCAAAGATGACTGGATGAAAACTCTTCTACTGTGCTGGAAAAGAATCACTGTAAATTATAGCAAACAAGTGATTACTTGAAAACTGTATTTTGTGTATACTTGTATTCTCTTCAACTAATACTTAAATTATTTAAATTTAGATGTACAAAAAAAACAGGAAGGGGGCAGACATTTTCTCTCACAACTGTATTTAATTTTTCCAAGCAGGAACGTTGACTCGTAGTTTTTGTTGTCTTACCTGCTTTTCTTCAGGTGATCCACAGCCGCTCCAGAGGCCACGCCCACTCCACTGGGGTAGCGTCAGCCATATTGGTTCCCTTGTTGGTATGTGTGCTGGCAGCACTGGGGTACTACCTCTTCAGGCAAAAGATGGACGCCTTCCGCTTCCACTACTTCAAAGTAAGACGTGTTCAGAGCTTTCCTGTGTCGATCACAGATCTATATTCACCATTTATTGTCTCATCCTGGGCTGTTTATCAGCTCCAAACATTTAAGGCAAAGTGGAGGATTTTTGTGAATTTTTGAAAAGACCCGCCCTCTCTACTTTAAAAAAAAATATACATGCACAACCCTGTAGCCGCTCCTGAGAGGAAACGCCTATTAAACCTGTCCCAGAGCGTGCAGGAGCCCATTTCTCCTTGCCCACGCTCTGTTTTAAAGTTGCTGTTTGCATCGCTCATACAAGCTTACTTTCCAAAAAGACGATTTGCATTAAGTCATTGAAAATGGGGACGAGCACATAAACATATCACCAGAATGATTGACGGTTAGGAGGACCACTTATTTTGATGATCCACCCAGAAAAAGAAGATCCTCCACTAAAGCTTTAAGCAGCTGATCTCAGTGTGAAGCTTTCCTAGAGGATCTGGATCAGATCATCAGGCAAACGTCTCAAACTGACTGTTCCTGATTTTCTTACATCTACTCCAAAGTCATGATTTCATCTCCGTCTTCTGAGTAAGTGGAGGTTAACGCCATGGTTCTGACCCTGCTGCTGTTTCCTCTGTGACAGAATGAGGATGAAGATGGTGCTGCAGGTGGACCAACCAAACCAACGCTGGTTTCCATCCCAAACCCTCTCTACAGCGGCTCCAGGGCCTTCGCTGAGCCCTTTGGGGTAAGTCCGTCTCTACGGTTCTGGTCTCACTGCAGCACAGATAGGAGCCATTACTTCCCTGCTGCGTTAAGCTCATAGGTTATGATGAAGGTTTTATTGAACATTTAACCATCATCTTCCTCTTTTCTGTCTCACAGGAAATGACTTCAGCAGCGGAACCAGCCGAGCCCACAGAACCTCCAAACATTTTGGACTTGGACCAGTGAAACCAGTTTACCAGAACATTCTGTTATCAACAGATTCAGATTCTTCTCTTTCCAGAAAGAGAATAAAGTTGTTTACTAAAATAATTCTGTGTTGAATGTTTAATTCTTGGTAGCAGCTGTGAGGATGTCGAACGGGAGCGGGTTGGCCAAGAAATGTTCGTTCCTGTTCATAAAAAATGTAAAAAAAAAAAATTACACCAAAGCTGAGGAAATGGAACCATTTTTAATGCACAACAATGGCTGATTCTCAATTCACTAGAACGTGAGTTTTAAATTACACACTAAATCAGTAAATGGGCCATATAGTGATGCTTAGAAGTTGAAAGTTCTCGCCTCAAATGATCTTAGAATGTAGTGTTATAGAACCACCGCAACAGGAAAGAGAACTTTTAACTTCATACTCTGCGCTCTGTGAGCGCTAACCTGGAAGCTGCTGCTCCTACCGTGGTGCATGCTGGGATAGCTGCCAGTCTCAATTATGGACAAGACTGCTCTGATGCATGCTGGGTAAAAAAGGAGGGCGAGAAAAATATCCGGGGACTTTGTCCGTTCTGTTTCTGATGTTCTTGTGGATTGGAACAGTACTAGGGCTGAGGCTGATGACGTTTCACGAGCACATGAGGATGCACAAGTACACATATTGAGAAACGGCCACTATATGGTCATATGCTGACATTATAAAAGCCCCGCCCCCTGAGAACAGGAAGTCATTTTTTTTACTTGGAAAAATGCCTCTCTCAGTTTCACTTGGTTTCAAACACCAGCTCAGTCCAAATTACTGAAATCAGTAAAGACCATTAAGCCACGACAGAAGTGTGTCTGCAGTCACCATTAAGTGCCAACCGAATAGTGCTGCCAGTTAGGAATGAAGCAGCAGGAAGCATTGTGCTCCCTAGCGCTAATGCAGTTAGCATAGGGACCTCTAACATTCTTTAAACCACTATACCTAGTGCTCCCTCTGGTGTTTTTCTTTTTTTTTTTGGTATATTTTTTGTTAAGCTTAAAAGCAGACATCCCAGGTAATTCCAGGGAGATGCTTATCGAAACCACCAACCCCCAACCGCCATTTCACAGGATTCACAGCTTTGAGTGTTAACTAGGTGACTTTTAGAGAGTAACCAGAAACTTATTGGCTTATTTTTCTGACTAATCCAATCAGCGCGCTCTCTGACAACCAGTCACCTGGAACACTGGTTGAACAGAGCATCAGTTTAGACAGATTCTATTCAGTTTATTTCTATAGCGCCAATTCACAATACATGTCATCTCAAGGCACTTCACAGTTCACCAGATCATCCAGTCAGATTGATTCAAAGTTTTCTATCTACGGAAAACAGTTGATTGCATCAATTCATTGACTTTTCAGCAATCCCTCTGTTAGGTTCAGACAATGTAGGTTTATAAAAGAGAAACTGAATCTACACAGGAAAGAGATTCAAGCAACTTCTGCAGGAGCGGAAAGAAAAAGCCCAACCCAACTTCAAGCTTTCTTTCTCCGAATCCTCTCCTGGAGCCGTCTTTTATTAACAGAACATAACACATGGTTACAAAAAAGTATTTGTTCTGACAGAACAATTGATCAGTTCATAAAGACAGGTTGCTCCACCAGAATGACAAGGCAGGATGGTCTCCTGACTGAATCACAATCAGGGATAATTTATCCGAATCGCGGGCATTCGTGAAAGAACCATTCCTGGAACTTTCGGGAGACTTGGCACATCTGCTGAAAAGGGAACCAGAGGAAGCGATAGATCCAAGATGGCAGAACAAAATGCCAGAGTGTTTCTATGTTAAGCTGAGAAACATTAATTCATTGTTGTGTTTGGACAGGATTTGTCCATCACAATTTCTTTATGTTTAACATGGCGTCTGTTTGTTTATCTGTGTGATGAAAACATCATTTGTACATTTTAATAATTTTGAACGTCAGTGTTGTTAGCTTCCAATGTCGGTTAGCTCATAACATGTTTTATATACTCCAGTTTTACGATGGTCAAAGAGAAGGCAATGGTCAGACACTATTCTTTCATAAACAGGCTAGTAACCAAAGATGACACATCTGTTAATTGGAGCATCGTTATCTGATGAAAAACGGCATACTCATGGCGAGGACGGCACGATACTGTTGCTCTCAAGTCTTTGTGTCACAGAATGCATAGGCACAGCCTACCTCAGTGAGTTTTCAACAGAAATATGACGTAACATGAAGTGTGTGGGACAAAATGCAAATGTCTTCACCTTCAGATGTTTTCTTTACTGATGTGTTACTATATTTGTAGTTCTTTTTTTGGAAAGCTGTAGTCCCTATTTCACCAGCACACAGCATAATGACTGACGGCTTTCCAGGTTTAGCACAGCAGCCTGGAGCTCCTTTCCTACCCTGAATATAGGTCTTATTATTTGCCTCATTAACCCTTATATTATGTTGGAAAAAAATTACATTCATTATGTTGCGGGTCATTTTGACCCGCACTGTGTAAATACATGCAAAATAGTCAAGAAAACATGTTAAACCAATAATCAATTTATTTTAGATTACTTAAACATTTAGTCAAGTGACAAACCATACAGTTTTAATTCACACACTTTATTTAGGTTAAAATGTTCCCTCTTCACAAATTTTGTTTTTTAATATTTACCTTTAAAATTCGCTAGTTACTAATATTTTGAACATTCAACAATTTTAAAGTTCTCCACATGATGGGGAGAATGTAACTGCTTTCTGCAGATGGAATTCATACATTTCACACAAGATGTACTTGTTTTACTGTCCTCTCTGGAGGGACAGAGCTGCGATCTTTTCCTCTTCTCTTCACCCGTCTCCACTTTATGTTGGTTGGGTAGTGGGCAGTCTTGCCCTGGCAGCTGTATATTGCTGTGACTTTGTCCAGATCGTCAACTCCTCCTCTGGTTGAGTTATAATCCAGGATCATTTGTGCCTTTAAGTCCTTTCTTGTGCTCAGAGATATATCAGCTTGCATTATATTCATGATAAGAACCTTCTGTTCCCAACATGGTCAGCTTTCTTTTCTGAAGTTCTTCTCCAAGGAGGTAGGACATAGAGGTTGTCACAAGTGATGTTATGATTGGCAGACCTTCATTCATCTTCAGCATCAAACACATCCCCTGATTCTTCTAAGCTTTTCCTCCAGGCTTTCCAGTATATACTTTCATATTCCATGCATAGCTGGATTTTGCACCTCAGGCTGCCCATATTATGATATTGGCATTCTGAGAAATGCTGACTGAATCTCCTCAGTTCATGTGATTGCAAATCTGGTAGGACCAGGAGTTTTTATCAAATTAGCTGATGATAGTCTGCATCAACTCTGGTGAGGTGATGTTGTCACTCTTGCGGAAGATGATTGCCTCATTCCTGGGCTTTCATCTGTTCGGGGGATAATAGCAGACTCTTCCCCTGAATCCTTCTCATAGTAGGAGAATTGATCATGTGGGTCAACAATAACTTTGTCTTCTGATTCTGAAATATCCTCTGCCTTAGAAACCTCTTGCTCTACATCACTATCCCAGTTCAAAAATTTGTGAAAAAGACTACTCAGCTTTTATCCTTCAGGAGCTCAGTTTTTGGTGTGTTTTTTCATATAGATGATGTGAGAGCAGTGACAAGAACTAGTGTAAGAAAGTTCCCTCCCTTACCACACCTGGGTCTGGGTCTCAGATGCAAATGAAAAGAGTAAAGTACATCTAAGAGCCATTTTTATTTACCTGAATGGCTACTTACCCACATTAAAGTGTCCGGGTCAAAATGACCCATAACATCATACAGGTGCTGGTCATAAAATTAGAATATCATGAAAAAGTAGATTGATTTCAGTAATTCCATTTAAAAAGTGAAACTTGTATATTATATTCATACATTACATACAAACTCATATATTTCAGATGTTTATTTTGTTTAATTTTGATGATTACAAATGACAACAAATGAAAATCTCAAATTCATCATATCAGAAAATTAGAATATTACTGAAGACCAATAAAAACAAAGGATTTATAGAAATGTTGGCCAACTGAAAAGTATGAACATGAAAAGTATGAGCATGTACAGCACTCAGTATTTAGTTGGGCCTCCTTTGGCCTGTATTACTGCAGCAATGCGGCGTGGCATGGAGTCGATCAGTCTGTGGCACTGCTCAGGTGTTATGATAGCCCAGGTTGCTCTAATAGTGGCTTTTAGCTCTTCTGAATTGTTGGGTCTGGTGTATTGCATCTTCTTCTTCACAATACCCCATAGATTTTCTATGGGGTTAAGGTCAGGAGAGTTTGCTGGCCAATTAAGAACAGGGATACCATGGTCCTTCAACCAGGTACTGGTAGCTTTGGCACTGTGTGCAGGTGCCAAGTCCTGTTGGAAAATGAAATCTGCATCTCCAAAAAGTTGGTCAGCTGCAGGAAGCATGAAGTGCTCTAAAACTTCCTGGTATGTGGCTGCGTTGACCCTGGACCTCAGAAAACACAATGGACCAACACCAGCAGATGACATGGCACCCCAAACCATCACTGACTGTGGAAACTTTACACTGGACTTCAAGCAACGTGGATGAAGTGCCTCTCTTCTTTTCCTCCAGACTCTGGGACCTTGATTTCCAAAGGAAATGCAAAATTTACTTTCATCAGAGAACATGACTTTGGACCACTCACCAGCAGTCCAGTCCTGTTTCTCTTTAGCCCAGGCAAGACGCTTCTGACGCTGTCTGTGGTTCAAGAGTGGCTTGACACAAGGAATGCGACAGCAGAAACCCATGTCTTTCATACGTCTGTGTGTGGTGGTTCTTGAAGCACTCACTCCAGCTGCAGTCCACTCTTTGTGAATCTCCCCCACATTTTTGAATGGGTTTTATTTCACAATCCTCTCCAGGGTGCGGTTATCTCTCTTGCTTGTACACTTTTTTCGACCACATCTTTTCCTTCCCTTCGCCTCTCTATTAATGTGCTTGGACACTGAGCTCTGTGAACAGCCAGCCTCTTTAGCGATGACCTTTTGTGTCTTGCCCTCCTTGTGCAAGGTGTCGATGGTCGTCTTTTGGACAACTGTCAAGTCAGCAGTCTTCCCCATGATTGTG